GACAGGTGTTTGCAAACTTTGAAAGATGAAGAATGTGGGTTAAGAATGAGCGAGTTAACCGTCAAATGCCTTTTTTATGCCGATGATCAAGTCATATTTGCGTCATCGGCGGCTGAGTTGCAAATGATGGTTACATTAATGAACTGGGCATTTAAAAAAAAGGGGAATAAAAGTGAACGCAAGTAAGACGAAAGTGATGGTTTTTGAAAGAGAGGAAAGCAAAACGGTATGTGAAATAAGAATAGAAGGAGAGTTAATTGAGCAAGTGGATGAGTTTGTTTATTTGGGATGTGTATTTAGCAGGGATGGTAGATATGATAAGGATATAGAACGACGAGTAAATGCAGGGGTGAATGGGGCACTACACTCTATTGTGAAGAACCAGAATGTATAAAAAAGGCACCTCCGTCCCACTAGCAAAAAAGAATTGCTGTAGAAATTGGATACCACAGATAAATATGCAATGTGTACCAGGATTAAGAAAGGTACTTTCATAATAACGAGGAAAGAGTGACAAAGCAAATTTATATGGCAGATGTGAACGGCAGAGTCGGAAAGGGACGCCCTAGAAAAAAGTTTATCGACCAAATTGGCGATATTTTGAAAATGGGCCACGTTAAAAGTACCCTTAACCGACGAGCATGTATGCGTAGATATATGGATGTAAAGGAGGCGAAAGAGGTATGTCAGGATCGTGTCAAATGGAAGTCCGTGGTCTCTGCCTACCCCTCTGGGTGACAGGCGTGAGTGTTTATGCTATGCTTGAATCTATATGGAATTAGCGGAACGCAAGCGAACGGCCGGACGGCACATCCAATGCTCGCACGTATGCGTGTAGTTTGCGTTACCCAGCATTTGTAATACTTGTATACTATAAAATAATTTAGTTTTAGGTATTTTATACCGGCAGAATTTGTTACTCACGTATCATCAAGATCACATCCATAAAGGTTCATAACCTTGAAAATAATTTGTGCGCGCCAAAGCACACGTTCTGAATGCAACTTTGTACGCATTTGGTGTGCTCTGGCATTAAGTTCATAGTAAACGCGTTCATAGTGAAAGCGTTGTGTCGCTTTCTATACAAAATGTAGCACATTGTATGCTTTTAAAGTTTTTTTTGTCGACAGGCTCTTAGCACATTCTATTTAAAATTCTGACGCAAATCTTATAACATTCAATTCATAATATAGTAGTTGGTAATACATAATATATACCTATTAAAACATTATAAATGAATAATTACAATTAGTAACTAAATAGTTTGCCAAAGCTAAACGAAAATATTTTTTTTCTAATGAAAAAGTGTAAAAGGTTTATGTTACATAGGTACAACAATTTTTTGCAATAGCAACAAAGATCAAAAATTAGAAAAGTATCTTTACATATATAATGAAAATTATAGTAGTTTATAAAGGCCACAGACAGTGAAAAGAAAACGTGAACACTGACCCACACAACACATTTTTTACAATTTAAACACACATTTCACATCACAGTTTTGCTGTAGACTAACACGACTAGTTAATAGTTATTTAAGTAATATAATAATCGCTACTTATTTTTAGTAGGTAATAAGGTATAATAGTTATATATTGCTTCTGATTTCTAAGTGCTGTAATAATAACATCCTAATTCAATTGATGATAATAAAAATTTTATTTACTGAAAATACGCGGTAAATTAAAAAAGAGTTTACAACGTATTTCGCTCATTCTCATAGTAATCGCTTAATATTGTTGTCTTAATATAATAATGAACAAAATGCAAAATGCAATTTAGGAAGGAAGTAGCAACAAGTTACAAAGATAAAAATAACCCTGTAGATAAGGTTGAAAAAATTAACAAAAAATCTCACTCACACTTGCCGTTCAAGAAAAGAACCAAGCTATTTAAGAGTTAAGTTTAGAAAATCAGTCTCAATGAACAGGCCGTTATTATTCTTAGTTACATTTTACATTTGACGAGCCTCAGGCGAGCAACACTAAGTAATCTAGTAGGCATGATACTCAATTTCTACATGTTAGTAAAGATAGTAATGAAAATTGAAACCACGGGAACTTATTCCGTGGTTTCAATTTTCATTACTATCGCTACTATTCTACGCTCACAGTGCTGTTTTAATGTAAACATTTTGTATTTTGCGTTCTTTATTCGTATATTGTTATACTTACAACTTATGACATACCGCTTGGGTTATTATTTTACTCTAGTCCGATGTTTCCCGACGTTTCGCTAACGAATGGTGCAGGTATGGGCGTTGTAGCAAATGACGGTTTTATATTTTATTACCGTCTCTTAAAGGCAACCACCGATAAATTTTATAAGATTACATACATATTATGAGTAGATTTAAAGAGAACATTTGTGGCCTTAATCAAAAGAATCGACGTCAACTTAAGGAATGCTTAAAGTTGCAATCTCTCTCTTTTCACTATATAACAATAAAAAGAAACAGTTATAGGTTATAATTAATACCTACTTAAGCAATATAATCAACGATTATAAGTAAGGCCGAAAATACACATCGAATGAAACACAGAAATCACTACGTGGTTCTTAACAATCAGATGTCAGTCTTAGTACAGTCGAATCACATGTATTTATTGCTGGACTGTAACTTAATGTTTAGTCACTAAATTTAGTATTTTTAATTAAAACGTTTTTTTAAACAAATATAGTTTTAATTTTTTTTTAATCAAGAATTCATCAATGCTCTTATTATACGTAAGCAGAAACCGATATAAATTATTTTTGAGACATGTTATTGTTTAAGGAAACTTAAAATGTTTGTTTCATTAATAGAGTTCTTGAAAATTGATGTCACTGTGTTTGACTTTTATAAAATAAAATTCATGGAAATAGGGACATCTAGTATTAGATCAGGGATGGCGAACCAATGGCACGCGCGCCATCGATGGCACGCGACACAATATTTTGGGCACGTCAACGATCACAAATTTCACTATGAAGTATTATATTACGAACGAACGCGAGTGATCCTACGCTACGGAGTGTTCGTTCATGGTGCGCGAGGCGGTGGTAGGATTGCCAGATGGTCGGGATTCGTCTGAATTCTCCCGACATTTTAGTGGATACTTCAGACTCCCGACAAAACTCAGAATCCCCAGAAAAACAGCGTCTCTTTACATCATAGCTGCCTTTGATTTAATAAAGGCTAAATTAGTTATTGGACTGAACTTTGAAGAAAATTGGTAGAATTTTAAAACTTTTTAGAATACTAGTAAACGGACTCAGTAAAGTGCAATGCCAAATACACGTGGCAACCTCATTACCCATTTCTTTAAAAATGCATACCTCACTAAACATTTCTTTAGAAAAATGGCACGTTGATATATAAAGGTTCGCCACCCCTGTATTGGAGACTTACAAAAACGAGCGTCGATAAAGTTCAAAACAATATTTTATGAAAGATTCGGCCAAAAAAAATGAACAATGAGTGTGCAGAGAAAGAAACATTAGAATTTATATATTAAATACTATTTTAAGAAATCTCGTGAGAAACATAACATTTTCTGTATTTTATTCTCGAGTAAAACATTTTCACGCATAAGTTTTACATTTTTAAAGATCTTAATCGATTAATTAATTTCGTAGTATCTAAATAACGTTGCAACTATGTATTCTATTGGTGCGTCGATTTAAGTGTATTTAAAATTATTTAACTACCATAAATAATCTCTTAAAATGTAAAATGTGCACACATCCATACATATGATTGTATAACGTATATAGTAATTGTGCATATGGTATACAGATTTTTTTGGGCCTTTCGTTTTATTTTTAAACTTACGAACTATCAATTTACAATTTTCACTTATAATAATTAAGAAAGGGCAAATTTCTCTCGATCTCCAGTATTAACATTATCTAACAATGATTTCATGTATTTACAAAATAGAAAAAGTGCAAAAAAGACAAAACTCACAAAATATGTATTTGAGCAATACGTTTAAATATATTTACAAACAGTTTTACAATTTTACTTTAGTAAGTAAATTATATAATAAATGCAAAAGAAAGTAGATGGTGAAAATTCTTCAAAGTAAATAAAATTTATAGGTAATTAATTAAATGTGAGGAAAGCGATAACGATGCAGCAATATGCTGACTCCTTGCTCATATGCGTATTATCTTCAATCTAGTAATACTCACAGAAATCTAAATAATGTGCCTAATTATTTAGATTTCTGTGGTAATACCAGTTTACGCCAATGCGCCGTGAGTTTACGAAAAGTGACCAAATTGTATTTTGCACATATTTGACAAAGTTGTGTGCTCATTCCTCAATTCTTTTTCATTATCCTTTATGCAACGGGAACTTTACAAGTTTATTGACATAATATACTTTTTGAACAATGACAAAAATGTTGATAAAAAAAAACAATGATTCATGATGATGACAGAAATCTTAATTCCTAAACAGTCCTAAGTCTAAGCGATCTTGCTTACCGCTGTAAATCATTAATTTCTAGAAAAAATGTTATTGCTATATGACAACTATTTACATACATAATTAAGCCACTAAGAGTGCATTATTGACATCAAAAGTAGAACTAAGGGAAATGAAAAGTTATTCGCAAGGGACGTAATGATCTACGAATCATTAATGACTTCGCTACTCAGTTGCATAACTTATGTTAAAGTATATCACATTAGATTAGAATCTTGTATACTTAATTTCAAACGACAGCTGTCTTGATCATGAATTAGATTTTATTATCTGCAATAGCTCCGGTCATCGCGGTTGTTTAGGCTCAGAAGGGCTAGAACCCAGAGCCGTAAAGCCAGTTAATAAAAAAATCGTGGTTGTTTGGTTGATAATTTTTAATTGAAACCGGTGTAACTACATTTTTTTTATTTACAAAATATAAACTTATTTTAGAAAAAGGATAAACAAGTCTACTGTTTGTAAATACAATAAGATAAATAAAAAATTGTCTGGTAGAAATTCATCACTGTCTCGTCTTAATTATAACCTAATCAGAAAAGTCATTCCCTGCAGCGCTATTTAACGTCCTAGTGTCTTCACTTAATAAAGATCTATCATAACGTCTTTGCCTTACAATTTTAGGCCTCGCTGCGCTCAACAGAGGTGCAGAAATTGCATGACCAGTCATGTGACTTAATTCCTTACGCCCTTGCAATAAGGGTGATGTAACACTGGATGATTCGTCACCTTCATCGTCTGTGAGGGCGGGATAACTCTCCTTCATTTTTAGGCTGCGTTCCAGGCGTCGGAGAAATCTACAATTGCAACAGAATATTTTTAATCACTTATAGAAAGTCATTTTTACCTCTTACTCTGGTTAAATTATAAGTGGAATACGAAAATATTTCTCCTGGGAAGAATTAGCCAGGAACCAAATGGGGCGTTTTTCAAATTAACGAAGAAAATTAAAGTAGTTAGAAAATCGTTCTTAAAGAACTATGAAAGGAAAAAATCTAAGGCATTCTGATGTTTGATTCTTTACTTCTGATGATGTTCTTTTCATTACGCAGGACATAGTATCGGCTATATAGCTTTATGTGAAACGTTAGGTATTCAATCAACCCTTCTGTATGCGATATATATGTCGGTGCGTTTAAAAATACCGGTAGGATCGAGAGTGAGTGAGAGGTTGCGTCATTCTTGCGGAGCGTCATATCTATGGTGGCAAGGTGGAATTAAGGGTATATCGCGAAGCTCCCCTCCCACTCGTGTGTGCAGTATAAAGTTCACTGTAGGCGCCGTGCACGGGAGATTCCGCTTAAGTCATTCTACGAGTGCTAAGACAGTGTCGTAGTTGCAAGAATGACGGTGTTGCTAAGAGGCTGCCCTGTGTTGCAATGAGATGGGTAATGTTGCTGTTGGTTTACACACATTAGTGTGTAATTGGATTTATTATCATATTAACATTATTAATTATATTAACATTAACTAATCCTTATCTTTTAGGGGATCCAGATAATTTCATTTCCGCTAATCCTTTAGAAACTCCAATTCATATTCAACCTGAATGATACTTTCATTATGTCCTTCACGTTACACCAGTGTGTGATTGTGACGGGGACATATTACGGTTTGGTCAAACTGTAATTGCGCTATACTGAATGTATAGTCAAGTACGCTGTTTTATTGGTAATAGTGGTTAATTGCGTAAGCAAGAGAGCAAGTAGAACACACTCTCACGCTTTTATTATTGGTGATAGTGGTTAATTACGTAAGCAAGAGAGCAAGTAGAACACACTCTCACACTTTTATTATTGGTGATAGTGGTTAATTGCGTAAGCAAGAGAGCAGGTAGAACACACTCTCACACTTTTATTATTGGCGATAGTGGTTAATTCCGTAAGCAAGATATCAAGTAGCACACAGTCTCACAGTTTTATTATTGGTGATAGTGGTTAATTGCGTAAGCAAGAGAGCAAGTAGAACACACTCTCACACTTTTATTATTGGCGATAGTGGTTAATTGCGTAAGCAAGAGAGCAAGTAGAACACACTCTCACACTTTTATTATTGGTGATAGTGGTTAATTGCGTAAGCAAGAGAGCAAGTAGAACACACTTTTACTATCTCACACTTTTATTATTGGTGATAGTGGTTAATTGCGTAAGCAAGAGAGCAAGTAGAACACACTCTCACACTTTTATTATTGGTGATAGTGGTTAATTGCGTAAGCAAGAGAGCAATTAGAACACACTCTCACACTTTTATTATTGGTGATAGTGGTTAATTGCGTAAGCAAGAAAGCAAGTAGAACACACTCTCACACTTTTATTGTTGGTGATAGTGGTTAATTGCGTAAGCAAGAGAGCAAGTAGAACACACTCTCACACTTTTATTATTGGTGATAGTGGTTAATTGCGTAAGCAAGAGAGCAAGTAGAACACACTCTCACACTTTTATTATTGGTGATAGTGGTTAATTGCGTAAGCAAGAGAGCAAGTAGAACACACTCTCACACTTTTATTATTGGCGATAGTGGTTAATTGCGTAAACAAGAGAGCAAGTAGAACACACTCTCACACTTTTATTATTGGTGATAGTGGTTAATTGCGTAAGCAAGAGAGCAAGTAGAACACACTTTTCTCTCACACTTTTATTATTGGTGATAGTGGTTAATTGCGTAAGCAAGACATTAAGTAGAACACACTCTCATATTTTTATTATTGGTGATAGTGGTTAATTGCGTAAGCAAGAGAGCAAGTAGAACACACTCTCACACTTTTATTATTGGTGATAGTGGTTAATTGCGTAAGCAAGAGAGCAAGTAGAACACACTCTCACACTTTTATTATTGGTGATAGTGGTTAATTGCGTAAGCAAGAAAGCAAGTAGAACACACTCTCACACTTTTATTGTTGGTGATAGTGGTTAATTGCGTAAGCAAGAGAGCAAGTAGAACACATTCTCACACTTTTATTATTGGTGATAGTGGTTAATTGCCTAAGCAAGAGAGCAAGTAGAACACACTCTCACACTTTTATTATTGGTGATAGTGGTTAATTGCGTAAGCAAGAGAGCAAGTAGAACACACTCTCACACTTTTATTATTGGTGATAGTGGTTAATTGCGTAAGCAAGAGAGCAAGTAGAACACACTCTCACACTTTTATTATTGGTGATAGTGGTTAATTGCGTAAGCAAGAGAGCAAGTAGAACACACTCTCACACTTTTATTATTGGTGATAGTGGTTAATTGCGTAAGCAAGTGAGCAATTAGAACACACTCTCACACTTTTATTATTGGTGATAGTGGTTAATTGCGTAAGCAAGACAGTAAGTAGAACACACTCTCACACTTTTATTATTGGTGATAGTGGTTAATTGCGTAAGCAAGAGAGCAAGTAGAACACACTCTCATACTTTTATTATTGGTGATAGTGGTTAATTGCGTAAGCAAGAGAGCAAGTAGAACAAACTCTCACACTTTTATTATTGGCGATAGTGGTTAATTGCGTAAGCAAGAGAGCAAGTAGAACACACTCTCATACTTTTATTATTGGTGATAGTGGTTAATTGCGTAAGCCAGAGAGCAAGTAGAACACACTCTCACACTTTTATTATTGGCGATAGTGGTTAATTGCGTAAGCAAGAGAGCAAGTAGAACACACTCTCACACTTTTATTATTGGCGATAGTGGTTAATTGCGTAAGCAAGAGAGCAAGTAGAACACACTCTCATACTTTTATTATTGGTGATAGTGGTTAATTGCGTAAGCAAGAGAGCAAGTAGAACACACTTTCACACTTTTATTATTGGTGATAGTGGTTAATTGCGTAAGCAAGAGAGCAAGTAGAACACACTCTCACACTTTTATTATTTTTAACAATTATCATTATCCTGATGTATGTCCGACATCAGAAGTAGGATTTCCTGTTGTATTTCCTAGAGGAAGTGCGATTTTCTGTAATAGTTCCGATAAATATGTATCTCTGTATATGGATAGTCTATTTTAGATTGGCCGACATGACCGGAATTCGGCCTGGACATTACTTATGTCTGATGTGATGCTTGCGATCACGTGTACGAACACATTTTAGACAAGCTAAAGGGTGCATGTAGATAAAATAACTTTTACAAACCTTATTTGGTTACTAATCGTCCGCAGTTTATTAACTTTGACGGGCTTTCGCGAGTCTTCAGTTAAGTCCACACTTGACGAAATTTTTGAAGAAGTATCCTGAAACAAAAATTGAAAATTATTTCCAAAAATGTGTTAATATTTTTAAAGACGCCGATAGTTCGTTAAGCATGCTTAAACAAATTTGAATTAAAGTGAAACTACACACACATTTAATAAACTTAAGTAAATATCAGTTTATCTACAGAAGTAGTAACAATAAGGAAGTAGATATAAAGGGAACACGTAAATATTAGGGATTAAATAATGTAGTTTTTTGCTTTACTATGAAGTATTAATTGTAAAATTCCAGTAATAATTAAGTATTCAAGTATTATCTACTGAATTTGTTTTTATTAAGACTTCTTTACCACCTGGAAAAAATTGGGTGTGATAGGTAAAAGAAGTAGATGCCTAGGTCTAGATAGTTTTTATTTATTGATTGATAGTATGAAATTGATCTATCATTCTTTAAGTTATCGAAGGATTTTAGTAGAAAGTTATGAAAGGTGAATTTATTTCACATTTTTTGTTAGATAGGAACTTATAGCAAACAGAATTAAGTAATACTTTTTTACAAAACTTAGTTGAAATTAACTTCACTATCTAAGTATCTACTTACACACCTATACTTGTCTTCTGTAATTTAAATATTTTGAGTTATAATAACACAAAATACTGAAATTAAAACTTTGTTTACTAACAAGATTTTAACTAAGTAGTATACGATCACATTTCTGTTAGGACTCGTATTTCAGTTCACACTACCTATTTCTTCCGAGCCAAGCATCACGACTCCCGATGAAGGGCCTTGCAGGTTGCATGCGTTGGGCATCACAAAACTCACATAGTTGCGAAAATATGGCCATCATAGTTAGAATAGGTACTTTACTTAACAACCGCGAAAAGTCCGCTGTAACGTAGGAAAGGGAAAAGCTGGAAAGTAATACGGACACTCGCGCGCAGCGATAAAGTTTTATTTAGCTTGAGATTTATCTAACTAATAATAATTATTTAGGCTATTAAACATCGGCAAGCAGTCAACATCAAAGGAGTGCAAGTTTTGGACGTTTGACTATTATTTATTCTGTGTCTTCGTTGAGACTGGCCGCCATGACCAAAACTCGGTCTGAAGGACAGTATTACACTCAATTTTTTCCAAAGGGTAAATAAAATAAGCCTTATATTATAAACTATATAATGCTGCATATAGGTAACTTTTAGTATAGGTAGGTATCAAATTTTTACTACATAAAGCGAAGGTCATATGTATAAAGTGACTTCAATAACTGTTACCCAGCCATTATATATCAAAAAGACTACAGTAACATTCTAATAGCAACCCAAGAAAGGCGATTTGTCCTATTCCCAAAAATTCTCATTTGAATTGTGGCAGCATTAGTTATATTTTATTGTCATCGTGCACAATCTAAGCATGCATCACAGAGTACTTTTTAATCGACTGCCCCAGGAGAAGGCAAATTTTTTTCGAGTGTGTGTGTGTATGTGTACCATTATTTTCTTGCGAGACAGGCCCGTCTTCATTATAGTATGTACGTTCATAGCTCTTTGTAGCTCATTATTTAGCATATTTTTGGCGATATTAACATCATTTAGTTTAATACAATTCAGATGCAACTTTTTCATAGTTAATAAATTTATAAAGTTTTGATTTACTTAGAGGAGTATATACGATCCGTTCTAGTAGAAAAGCTAATAAAATTATTGCCTTTACACTGGATTTTAAAATAGGTGATCTAGACATGAGTTTAATCGCGTAGGCAGTGAATGTGCAGACAGTAACCCATGATAAGCCACAAGATTGTTATGTATGTGTAAAATTATTCAACGGCTTTAATATGTCATTAATAGCTTGTAAAAAGTTTTCATATGAGCGATATGAAGTTGGACGATAGATAATTTCAGTTTCGTTTCCGATCTTATTAATCAAGTCAAAAGCTCAACTACACCTCAACTACAGTTGCCATAATATAATTTTTTTTATATAAACAACAACTTCTTCATTTTGTGACTTATTATTTTTAGTACCATGTTTAATAAAATTATTTAGTTATAAATTACTATGTCATACAATAATTCATATAGTATATAGCATTTGTATAGATTTGTTTAAGTTTTTAATTGAATAGTAAGGTATTATAGTGTATCCGAATGTGAACACAGTTGTAGATAATAAGAAGAAAAGAAAAGGTGATTCAGGTTATATCTGTTTTTATCTGAGATCCTTAGCAAGAACATAGTAGAGCCTGTTACAAGCTGTTTTAGTTTCAGACATATTTTCGAACATTGGTCGATCTTGGAACAGGAACCGTTGTTTAGGATTAGACACAACGGTTCCAATCCAGTTCCAATTTTAAAAAAAAAACTGTTGTTTTTTTAAAATTGGAACTGTTACGGTTAATACGCCTCCCATCTATCTTTCTTTGTTTATCTGAGATATATCTTTATAAAATTATTTTATGGTAAATATTTGCAGGATGAACAGAATACTGTCATAGTTTGTAGGTTCCGCGTGAAAATCAATCACTGCACTGCAGTGAAATTTTAAAGCCAACAAGGTACTCGTGAACAAAGAGCAACACTCTTTACTCGTATCTATATTACATATAATCTATGGAACTACATAAATTGTGAATATGTCAACACATGATAATTTGTCGCGATTTGTACAATCACCTCGGAACTACGGCACTTTTGTCTCCGTAGGGGTTTCCTTGGACGAGGCTCACATGGCTGCAAACAAACCAAACGGTGGCAGGAAAAAATAGAAGCCAAAATATTTACATATAAAATAATAAAGTACAACAGCGCAAGACTGCTTAAGCCGCCCGCAAATCTCTTTTAATTAAAATAAAACAACCGCTTTTTGTTAATAAAAAAGATGCTAAAAGTAGCTATTTTAATTAAAACATAAATTAATAAAAAAATTTATTACGATGTTATTTATAACAATAACAAAACAGTTTTATTCATTACTAATTATTAGATGTAATTTAAAACTTTATTTTGTATAAAAACGTAAAGTAGTATTTATTTTGGAAATCTGTGGTCGGTTTTGTTGAATATAATTATTTTTTTGTAAATATAATTATTTTATACATTAGTGCAATGTGTCATGCGAAAGCACTTAAAATGTAATTTATATATAAAATAATATAAGTTTATTTTTAAAATGTGCGTTTATAACTTTTTTGCATATAAAGTTTGAATAAGATAGAAAAAACAAAAAGTTACATTTAGATGTGTTTAACTTAATTAGCTGAGATCTGCTAGAGAAATATAAATGATTTTACCTAGAGCACTTTCCACCCGCCCTCCCTCAATTCACCATTCTTATTTTTCACGCGCTCCCTTAGCTAATTAAATTTAACACGTTAATGTAAAGAATTTTGACAAAGCAACGCCTGATTCTATTAATTATCTTAGAACATAACGTTGTTATTAAAACAAATAGAATGGTCTTAAACATAGGTTGTTATTTTTTTTTATTTAACTGGTATATTTTTAATTATGACTGAATGTAAAAAAAATCAAATATACAATATTCATGATTATATGTGACAAAGAAATAATTAGGTTTTGTCATGATTTAAAGTTCTTGGTTAACGGTCGCTTATGACAAAATAAAATTCAAATGGAAAATTTTCGGCATACCTGCATTTCTAAATCCGGAGGCAGTCTTAGTTCCCGTGCCGATGCAACAGACGCTACCGACGCGTTAGAAACGGAATCCTCTGATGATGAAGAAGACGCAAGTGCCGGAGCTTGTGAACGTGAGCGACGTCTGCCACCTTTACGGCCACGGTTACCACATGGTACCTGTAGTCAAATGACAGTGTTACAATACATGGTAACTGTAATTAAAATGGCAGTGACAAAATTCACAATTTATGTTAAAGATGACATCAAAATTCCTTCTATCTTTACTTAGTTTGGGTAGTTTTTGGGATGGAATGTACAATAAACAAAATTTTAGTTTTTCTATATTACAGTTTTTTGAGAGAATAGTGTGGAACAGAGTGGCCTTCATGATTTCCCTCCGGTTGTGTCAGTTTGCTGAACTATCGGACTATGAGAGTAAGAGACTTGCACCTGTGCTTACGCATATATTCGTGCACTATTACCCTCTCTTGTGCAGATGGCTAGTCTCCTTCGAATTCGTGACCAAAAGACTTCGATACCAAATGATCTGGGAGACTTTATTATAATTAATTAATGTAAAATAAGGTATCTCTCTGTATCTTTGTCTTTACTAACATATGATATTATAGTTCTAAGTAAGTTATTAACAAATAATGGATGAATGGATCTTAAACACTTTATAATCTGTTATTTTAAAATCTTTCCCAGGAATATACTTTAGTTTTGAAGTTTTGCTTGTTTTTTTTAAATAATAAGAGTGGCAAACGAGCACATAGTTCACCTGGATGGTAAGTGGATGCTGTAGCCCATTGACATTTACATTTATCTTCGATTAAAAATCAAAATGCAGAGTGCGTTGTCACCCCTGAGGACTAAGATGGAATGCCTCGTTTCCAGTAAAAAAAACGTTCTCCGGATCTCTACACTTACAATACGAAACACAGCAGCATTAAGCTGCTATTTTACGCTGGTATTCTGTGAGAGCGTGATCCTTCCCCGGTTGACCCAACACATTCGTACTACAACCATAATATAGCTGCAGCGTAACTCTACCATGTATAAAAATGCAATATGTTTATAAAATGAAATATAATGCATCAAGCATTGTCATCTACAATATATATTACTTAATTTCAATTTTATTAATTTTTAAATACATAAACATACGGCTCCAGGGTATGTACGAATAGCCTAATGACTAATAGAAAATAAGATATTTAGTATTTTATACATACCTCTAGCAAATTGTGCATTGAATGCGGCATATGTGGAAGTGTTGATTTAGATGTTCCCGAAACTTCTTGTGAAACTGTCCTGGACGTGCGCCTGTCTCTTCTCCTTCCAGCTTTTCGATGTGAACTGTTTCCTACTTTACAACTACCTCCTTTCACACATTCTGAACTAGGGAAGTCATATAACCCATCAGAGTCCGTAAATGGAAGCTGACGGCCGTAAAAATGTGGAGAAAAATGGCCCAGACCAGTCCTATCACTTACAGGACTTTCGCTCCGCGAACTAACAGGACTTAGAGGACGACTACCATCGGATAGCAACATGGGGGGTTTCAAACAAGTTTTTTCATCTAATCCTCTTTCTACACTTATGCATTTGACTATAGAGCATTTTGTCACTCCACTCGGAGAGCAAATTTGTGGTATTTCTAAAGTTTCTTTTAAAACAGCTAAATTCTCCATTTCCTTAGCACTTGTGGGGACATCATCTATTCGTTCATCAGTTCCAATTCCTTCATCATTAGATTCCAGTAAAGGATCATCGGATAAGGTTTCTGAATCGGATCTTCCGCGACGCCTTTCATTTGTTTCGTTATTTGAACTGGCGGGGCTGGAATTGGTTTTCATTAAGGGTCGTCGTCTTGATTGAAAACATGACGGTCCACCGCCTGACCCCGGATCTTCCATTTCAGACGGACACAAAGGATTGCTCGAGCCACACCTGGATGGACCTGGACTTGCCATGGAACTGTATCCGGATGAGGATAAATTTGATTCTGATGGGGCTCTCTCTCCGCGGGCAGACATTGAGAAAGGACTTAAGTAGCACATATTTGCCGATGGTGGTGGAGGCCTTGGTGATAGCGGTTCATCCGATTCCTCGCTGGCGTTGTATGTTACAGTGATTAAAGGCGGTGGTTGGAATTCTAAATGCGGAGGAGTTCGTCTTGGAGGAGGGGAGCCCGGCGAAGGACGCTCTATAGTGAGGACGGGTACTCTTAATGTTGGTGGGGCTGCAGAGGGAGAAGACATTTCGCGTTCAGAGTCTTGACTGTGGGTAAAACTTGGACTAGGTGAATCAGTAATATGAGTGGACGGCGTTGGTGTATCTATGCACAGAGCCTGTTGCCGCAACTGGAAAGTATAGAAAAACATTATTTAGATATTTTTTTATTGAATAAGGCTGACAAACGAGCACGCAGTCCATCTGATGGTTAGTGGATGCTGTGGCCCATAGACATCTACATTTATCCTCGATTAAGAATCAAAACGCAGATGCGTTGTCACCCCTGAGGACTAAGATGGAATGCCTCGTTTTCAGTAAAAAAGGTTCTCCGGATCTCTATACTCACCATACGAAACAACAGTATTAAGCTGCTATTTTACGCTGGTATTCTGTGAGAGCGTAATCCTTCCCCGGTCGAGCTGACCCATTCGTGCTACAACCATAATATAGCTGCAGCGTGGCTCTACCATGTATGAATGAAATTAGATATCTGTGTTTAAATTTTTTGGAAAACAGTATAACACTAAATAAAATGATACAGTAGGGATACGTACGATATGTACGATGTGTAATACCTACAATAGGGACACGTACATGATATTATGGCTGCAGTCCGAATGAAAAACGACCACGCTCACACAGAATACCAACCATAGAATACTTTAATACACAATAGAATGGCTGTCAACCTTATTTTGTAGGAGGATTGGCGTCGCTGGGAGCACACATAAAAACAATTACGTCGTACTATCAGTTATCACCACTACAAACACATTTTAGACTTTTGATAAATGTTTTTGACACATGAATATTTATTTATTTTTGTTTCTAATATTCACAAAATATAAATAGTTTCAACTTATTGGTTGTAGAATATTTCTCCTTTATTTAAATTCCATTTTCCGCTGTTCTTTCGACACGTAATTATTACACAATTTGCCACTTTAAAAAAATTGCATGCGGCGACGCTTGACACGAAATATGGAAACGATTGATTGTGTTGACATTTATACGTGTGAGTTGACATGTTAGTGGCTACACGGGCTCCACCCACTCCCCCGTTCTATTATGTGTGTATTATAGTATTCTATGATACCAACATAGAATAGCAGCTTAATTTTGCTGTGTTTCACATGGTAAGTGACTGGGTAAGGGAACTGGATGCATCATAATCCGCGATGGGCAACACATTCTGCATTTTGATTAAATAATAAGGGATAGATGTAGGGATCTACAGGCAACAGCGTAGAGTTACCATCAAGTGGTGTGTGCTGTTTGTCACATATACAAAAGATCTTTCAATGTTAATAAAATAATTGGCCACAAACAATTTTTATTTTATTACCTTTAATCGCAAACTAGATATCGGTCTTTCAGTTTTCTCTGTATTGATTTCTTCTAACTCATCTTCACTGGGTGAAAGACAAGTGGTCGATTCCTTTTTAACATCTGTTTCCATTTTAGATCTTGGCATTCGCGGCGAAGGCAACGGTGTTGCCAAAGGTGTAGGGAGGGGAGTTGGTAATGGTGTAGGCAATTCGCGTATTGGTGAGAGGCACTTATTTATGCTGCTTGGAACTTCAAGGAGGATTGATGGCGGGTGCAGGAGGTTGCTTCCCGATGGCGTTGATTTATGAGCGCTAAGTGGATCAAGAACCTGAAACATTTTACCGAAAGTTAAAATCTTATTTGCGTATTGATTTTTTTTTTATAGAAGAGGGGGCAAACGAGCATGTGGCTCACCTGATGTTAAGTGACTACCGCCGCCCATGATCAACTGCAACACCAGGGGAATTGCAGACGCGTTGCCGGCCCTTTAGAAAGGAGTAAGCTCTTTTCTTGAAGGTCCCCAGGTCGTATCGGTCCGGAAAAATCGCTGGTGGTAAATTATTCCACAGAGAGGTTGTACGCGGAAGAAAACTCCTTTTGAAACGTACAGTGGTGGACCGCCAAGCATCCAGATGGTGTGGATGGTATCGGGACGTTTGCCGCGTAGTGCGTTCACGAAATTTGGCGGCTGGGATTAATCCGAACAATTCCTCAGAGCACTCTCCATGGTATATGCGAAAGAAAATGCAAAGGGATGCAACATCTCTTCGCAGTGCCAGAGAATCGAGCCGATCGGAAAGCACTCGGTCGTCGACGATTCGAGCCGCTCTGCGCTGGATGTGGTCAAGTGGAAGGAGCTGGTACTGGGGAGCCCCAGCCCAGAGATGGGAACAGTATTCCATGTGCGGCCGAACCTGCGCCTTGTAACTATCGTCTATAAATACTATTATTATATTTATCATAAGCCTATTAGCAGCTTCGAACTAAATACTCGTTACCATTAATTCCTTACAGCCTATCAAAAATCCACTGCTGAACCTAGGCTTCACCATGATTTGCCTCAATTCGCCATAGTTGTCATGCATGTCTACCTCAGTATTTATTAATTGAAGGTATTATCAGGTAGATGTCGCTACCCATCTACAATTTCATTTCCTTCTGATGTCTTTTACGACACCTCCAGAATGATATAAGGAAGGGGATTTTATTAAGCCGTCACTACACGGCACTGTAACATATATTTATTATATTCGCCCTTGGATGAAAATGAATCATGAACAGGGCCAGGAGGCAGTTCCGCTTCTTATAAGAACATTATATCAAAGTGTCTGACAATTACGTCAATAAAGCGTAAATTTTATGAGATTAATTCAGGGGTCTAATAACAAAGGCGGCAAAGTCCCATATCATTATATGGGACTTTGCCGCCTTTGTTATTAGACCCCTAAATTTATTTTAATCAAACTTCCTCACTCTCTTAACATAATATTGTGTTCGTTATAATACGAATAATTTGTTTGCTAGAATGTTTGTCCAATATGATAGAAACAAGCTCGAGATATAAAGTAAGTAAATATTGCAGAATGTATGAAACCTTTATCACTTCTCTTATACAAGACCTTTGCACACATCAAATGCGAAGCGGAGATGTAGCGCCCTATTGTCACCATATCAAAAAATCGCGATCCACTCAACTTAAATCACTTCTATCGACTTTATACTGCACTTATGTAATTTCTGACGTTGTTATAAGAATAATTATTTCGTATATTATTAAGAAAAGTTAATTGAAAATAATTTCACTTGGACGTCAGTTCAGGTCGGTATGGATGAACAAGATATCTTTCGAAAAACTGAACTCATCACTTTGATTTTTTTATTAGCATTATATTTTAATTCTTAGAAAGCCTTTTAAATGTCACTATTGTGGGGGAGAGTTGGATATTACCGTGCTCCTAAGATCTTATACCTACAATTTGGGCATAGTTTGATATACATATCAAAAAAGCGTTTAAGTGGTAGAGAATTTATTTAGCTACACATCCAGCATGGCAAAATATTTAAAAAAAATAACAGAAAGTAATTATTGTGATATTTAAAAAAACGGGGGAGGGTGGTATTATCAGACTGGTTGGATAATATCGTGCCTAGGTTTGATAAAACCGTACCCAGAATAATATAGTGAATTTCTATTAGTAAGTTTAGAAAAAATTCAATTTTAAGATATTATTCTATTTTTATTGAGATATTATTTTAGAACAATATAAATCAACTATACAAAATATAACAAAATAATAAGAGAAACTTAGATTATTTATGTCAACAAAACTAAGTTATTATTTTAACAATGACTAGGTGTTCAAATTAGTAAATCTTTGAATAAAATTACTAGTCAGTCTCAGTAATACCTACAATCACTCTAATCATCAGAATTAAAGAAGCATTGTCAATGAAAAAAATTTCGGCAGAGTATTTTCCGCTATATTCCTTATGTATCCGATTCGAGCATCTTGTAACAACGGAACCAAATTTTTCTACTACGACAAAATTCTTGACATACCGCGAAAATATCACTGTTTATGCAAAACTTGCAAGGCGCTCATTCCGGGCGAGGAACCGGTTGGCGGGTTGCGAGGGGGGTTTGTGTCTTGCGACCTGCGACCGCGCCTGTTAGTCTGTTAGAATCTTTGTGCGCTGCGGCCGTGCCGGTGGGGGGTCGGAAATTAGTCTAGAAGAATCTTTGTAGGCGACGACTGTGTCGATTAGAGGTCGCGAGTATTGATAAAAATTGCTACATCGCATCACGACGGCCTCCATTGTGTTGTTTTATTTCGTTAGAATACGTGACAACGAGGCTTTTCTTTTGAGTTTTGAGTGACTATTTTAACTTCGATTGCTATTCATTTGCGTCGACGAGTGGCTTGTGTAGATATCGTACGAATGAATTTTGCTTTGTCGTGGAACGCTAAACCTTGTGATCCAGTAGGAGATAGCGTTATCTTCGATTATAGTTTGTGCTAAGTGACGTTAGACTTGAGTTCCGATAGCGGTGAGCGCCTTGTGGAGTGGTCAACGCATGTGGTGCTGCTGAACGATTACCTCGATGACGTCAGGTTACATTATACACTTTCCTACACCACTCACACATATCATTTACTTGCCCCTGACGGCGCCTTGTGGTCGACCCTACCCCTGTAATTCGGTAAGTTTGTGTTTGCTTATACAGCCGTTACAAATTAAATATCCATAGGCCATTGGGTCCTCCCCTCGGTGGTGCTCGTCGAGTTGGATTACTGATGGTCCCTAATCCTGTCGACTTTTGTCGGGGTAACTGAGGGCCGTAACATTGCTGGTAGCACAGCGTGGTTGATTGTTTCTATAATCACGCCCGGCCGTAATATAATAATAATTTTTTTGTTTTGTTAGCGGATCGGTGGCCAGAACCACGTCGTTAGGCTACGCAAACGGAGTGTAGTTTAGAGTCAGGTACCTCCGCGTCAGGTATTTCGCCAGTAGATTAAATTGCCGAAGAGTCGGTCGCCTCAGCGGGGCATCTTTGTTGACCGACTGTAGTGAGTACTTGCCGTGTAGTGTAAATGTGTTTAATTTAATTAATAGTAATTGTATTTAGTAGTGATGCAATAGCACAAGCCACCGGCGCTTCGCTTGCAGGCGGAGCTGCGCTGGGCCGCGAACGCCCATACCTTGATAGGGCGAACGGATCGGGTCCATAGCATAGAGAAGCGGCTCCAGCAGGTCATGGCCCGAAGGGCCGTAGTTGAGGAAGCTTGCACTGAGTTTTTGGCCTCGGGAGCGGAACAGGAAGTCCTAGACTCCTGCCTCGCGGACTACGAGCAATTCTTTTCACGGACGACTTGATCGAGGCGGCGGCCAAGTATGCTCATGAAGCGCGTGAAGCTCGGCTGAGTGGCCTGCTCGAGTCCCCTCGGAAGCAGCCTACTCAGCCGGAGCTGTTGGGACGACTCCCAACTCTGGACCTGCCAAGGTTCTCCGGGGTCCTCTCCGACTAGCTGACCTTTGTTGGGCTTTTTGACAGCCTAGTGGACGCCCGGAGGGACTTAACACCAAGCCAGAAAATAGCGTACCTCCTGGCCTCACTGGAGGGGGAGGCCCTGGGCGTCGTCGGCTTTCTGAAATTGTCGGACGACGCCTACCAGACCGCTCAGGACCTCCTCACTGGAAGGTACTCCAACGTCCGGCGAATTGCGGACGAATACGCTAAGCAGCTGCTAAACCTCCCGCTGCTTAAGGACCGGGCCAGACTACGTCCGGACATCGTAAATCCAGTCTTGGTGGCCTGTAATTCTTTGAGGTGGCTGGAGTTACCGGTGGACGAATGGTCCTTTTTTTTGCTCCAAATCGTGCTGTCCCGCCTGCCTCTCGATCTTCGGATCCATTTTGAGGAGAGGTAAGGCGGGGACGGCGCCTCCTATATTCCGCCCTTCAGGGACCTGCTGCGGTTCTTGGAGGAGCAGTGCAGGCAGATTGAAAACGCAGCGGGCACCGTCGACGACCTACGGACTGCCAAACAAGCGGTGCCCAGGGACAGGTGGAATCCCCCGGGCAAGTCATCGCCAACCCCCCTAAGATCCAGCGGAGCTCACACGGGAGGGCGCCGCCCCCTACCATCTTATAGCGGCCTAGCGGCCCGGGAGGTGCCCCCCTGCTCCTATTGTAGAGCATCCGATCACCGGGTAACGTTGTGCCCGAAATTATTGGTTAAGCCGGTCCCAGCGAGACGAACCATCGTCAAGGAGCGCCGCTGGTGCTACTCGTGTTTGGAAAGGCATCTCCAACGAGACTGCCCGCACCAGCGGCCCTGTCCGCACTGCCAGGGCAATCACCATGCCGTTTTGTGCCTGGGTGCGAACGGTGCTTCCTCTCGGGGCTCTGACGGGCCCTCAATTCCCACGGGCGGGGGCGCTCAGCCACGCCCTTAGTCGGGCGACGCTCGGCGCTCCCCTGTCGGCCACCGTGCCCCTAGGTTTGAAGGGGGTCCCTCCCTCGACCAGTCGGGGGGTAGTTCCCCCAGGGGCGGGGGTTCGTCACCCCCACCCCCCCTCAGCGTGTTGAGAGGAACTTCACGGCCACTCAGCAGTCAGCTAGACCCTTCTCACCCCCGTTAGCTGAGCGGCCGCGACTGGAGTACCACCCTCCCCCTTTGGTCGGTACTGGTACTACGGGGTTCCTGTGACCTCTAATTTGTCTCGGGCCTCAAGGCCGAGGTTCCGCGAAGCTCCCCAGGTCGGCCCCTGTGGTGTATTCCAACCACGGGTCATTGAGAGGCCGCCGGAATGCCGCTTTCGGGACCCCCGGTTCGAGTGTCGGTCCGATGGAGGCCGCTCCAGCTAGGTAGTGGCCGCCCTAGCTCCCACCACGGCCGGCTCCACTGATCCACTGAGCCGTCAACAGTTCACTTGTCAAACTGTTCTATTGCCGACGGCCTCATTGAAGGCGTATAACCCGAGTGGCGACTGTTTAATGGCTCGCGCTCTATTGGGTTCGGGTTCAGCTGTTTGGGCTCCACTTGGTTGGTGGGAAGACTAGGGCTCTAAATATCTAACGTTTTATTTGAACATGATTAAATTAAGTAAATATAAGAAATCATTATGTTTTATTTGAAGATAGAATATCTAAGTAACTTATTATATTCAACGTTATATGTTAAAAGATTGTTAGTTGAGCTTACTACCAGAGTTTGTGACATTTTACATTTTTATGATGTAGCTCTTAAAACCCGTGTCCCTTTTGTTTTTTGTTTTTGTTCTTGTGCTTTTTTTTCTTGTGCCTTTATTTTTGTGCTTCGGTTGCTGGTAACTCACCACCATGTTCAGAATGCCCACGCTGGGTGTAACGCTCTTTCGGCTATTTTGCAGCGGGAGTTTAGGATTTTGGCTGGCCGACGCAACATTCGGAGCGTCATTTTTAAGTGCATATCTTGTTATAAATTGAAGGCCACCATATCGCAGCCGATGATGGGTGACTTACCACCCGACCGCGTCAGGGCTATCCTACCATTCGCTGGAGTCGGAACCGACTTTGATGGCCCCTTCCTCGTCAAGTTCTCCAACCTTCGTAACGCGCGTTCACATAAGGCCTATCTGTGCGTTTTCGTGTGCCTCGCCACTAAGGCCGTTCACTTAGAACTTGTAAGTGCCCTCAGCACTGAGCCTTTATGGCCACGCTGGGTCGCTTCGTAGCGCGTCGCGGTTTGCCGGACCTGATCCGGTCTGATTGCGGAACGAATTATAAGGGCACGGATAGATATTTGAAAGAGGTCGTAGAATTTATGTCTCTGTCCCCTCTCGTCCGATCCGAATGATTTGGAGATTCTAGCTCCGGGCGACTTCCTGATTGGCCAGCCGCTTAACGCCCCGCCCGAGTACCCATTCAGGGAAACAAACTCTTCGCGGTTGAGCAGATTTGACCTGCTGCAACAAATGAGTCAGAGTTTTTGGCACCGATGGTCTCTGGAGTACCTACATCTTTTGCAGCAGCGCGTTAAGTGGTCTGACAAGATGGATCCTCCTGGGGTTGGAGACCTCATGTTAGTTAAAGAACCTAACGCTTTGCCTTTGTATTGGCGCCGTGGGCGCATTGTTAAGTTGTCGTATGGACCCGATGGGGTGCCTAGAGTGGCCTTGGTTTTGGTTGGAGATTAGGTCTTGCAACGTGCCGTCGCGACCCTATCCCGTTTGCCAATTTACTCGCGGACATAGGTCCTTATGTCCGGGACGGGGGTTTGTTTACGCAAAATCGTAGCAAGCTACAACTTGCAAGGCGCTCATTCCGGGCGAGGAACCGGTTGGCGGGTTGCGAGGGGGGTTTGCGTCTTGCAACCGGCGACCGCGCTTGTTAGTCTGATAGAATCTTTGTGCGCTGCGGCCGTGCCGGCGGGGGGACTATTTTAACTTCGATTGCTATTCATTTGCGTCGACGAGTGGCTTGTGTAGTTAATATCGTACGAAGGAATTTTGCTTTGTTGTGGAACGCTAAACCTTGTGATCCAGTAGGAGATAGCGTTATCTTCGATTATAGTTTGTGCTAAGTGACGTTAGACTTGAGTTCCGATAGCGGTGAGCGCCTTGTGGAGCGGTCAACGCATGTGGTGCTGCTAAACGATTACCTCGATGACGTCAGGTTACATTATACACTTTCCTACACCACTACACATATCATTTACTTGCCCCTGACGGCGCCTTGTGGACGACCCTACCCCTGTAATTCGGTAAGTTTGTGTTTGCTTATACAGCCGTTATAAATTAAATATCCATAGGCCATTGGGCCCTCCCCTCGGTTGCTCGTCGAGTTGGATTACTATTGGGCCCTAATCCTGTCGACTTTTGTCGGGGTAACTGAGGGCCGTAACAATCACGATTCTCCACATCGTCGTCTTCATCATTATCACCCAACTGAGCGATGGGAATATCATCCTCACTATCTTCACTGCTCTTGATAAATTTCTTTAACCTAACTTTACGTCTTTTTCTTCCTTTTGCGAGCTTTGTCTTTTGTTTCAGATACTGTTCATCCTCACTGTTTTCGCTGCTGTTCATAGCTTTCCTTTAGTTTGTTTCTTCTCTTTAAAATTCTTGTCTTTTGCAGTCTTCATTTGCTTTGCTTCGTCGCTTTAGTTTCTTTCTTCTAGCTACTGGTCTCCCAATCTTAATCGATAATCTTCTCTCAATCTTAATCGATCCCTAATTGTGGAATTAGGGATGTCAAAGTCTTTGACAGTTGTATTTATTTTGCTACCGTTCCGTATAGTCACTAAAACAGCTCTCATATTTTCTGGATTCCACTTCTTTTTTTGCTTTTTGATTTATCCATCTAAAAAAACATAGTTTATTATTTGACACCCTGATCGATAATATCGCTCCCTGGGCGCGGAATTGAAAAACCAGATCATTTAATTTTATAACCTCAAAATAATACAGTAAAAGTAAATTGTGTATTCAAATCCGTTTGGGCATTAATTCTACAATATGTAAGCATTAGAATATATTATGGAAACAATGTGTTACAATATAAATACTGAACAGCTTACCTCCTATCAAAAATATCCGCGAAATTCTAAGGAACACAAGTAAAAACTTTCACGACATGGTGTTATTCTGTGCCTGCTCGGAGCAAACTGGTGGAGCGCGCGATCAAGACTAGGCGCTTCGGGCTATGATATTTAAGTGCTGATAGTTGTGTGTGCGGATAGTTCCACATGCGTTTAACTTTTGCAATATGTTGATGCGCAGAATTATCAGCCGCGCGGTATTATCCAATTCTCCCTTAAACCGTTCCGCTCGTTAATATTTGACATTTTTTTCGGTAACAAAATACGATTCACACGTAACAAGCAGTCAAAAATTTCGTGTTAAACCAAGCAATTTTTTGTAGCTTTAAACGAAATACGTGTTATTGTAATTGAGAAAAGTAAATTGATTATTCAAAACATTATATGAGCGTTCGAGGTGTGCACTTTTGAATTTTCAAAAATTTTATAAGGTTTTTCTAAGTTAGTTAAGCAAAATAGCATGGTGGTGGTCTTAGGTATTTTTAATTCAACAGTACAAAGTCTTTTGATGCTTTAAGACTGTGATTTACCATCTGGGGCTTCACCACTTGGGGGAATTGTAATCAAGCGCTGACTTAGAATAGGTAAAAGAAATCTAATTTTTTTTACGAATATTGATTACGAAAGAAAATGAATATACCTGTATTTCTATGGTGTTGTGAGGTCTAGCGACTGGCGAGTCAGGGGCAAGAGATGGTACGTGAGAGGAGGCAATAGAGACGTCATCATCCACAGTATCATCTTGCGGTGATGAAGCTGTTGGTGTGCTGGATGCTGATATACCTCCAGATGACGCCCTGGATATTACAGCCGCTGATGAAGAAGAAAAGTTGCGGAACATTGCAAGGATTGAGTCCGCACTTGAAATTTTTGGGGTCCTGAAACATGGGAAAATTTACATTAAGGACGTTCTTTACAACAATTGTTATCAAACAAATTCAAATATTAAGTTGTTTAGTCATCATATTTGCTCAGTATTTGTATTTATAAATTTATTTTTTGCTGTTGTAATATCTTGTATAAAATGAATATGAAAGAAATTATGCAGTGTTAAAATGTTTTTCTGACCTTGAATATTTTTTTAAAGCTGCATGGGCTAAAGTCAAATCCAGACTGGACATTGAATCGCTTCCCTGATTGCTCGATGTACTGTGCGGTGATCTAACTTCCACACCGGGAGAGGGCGGTGTACTTGAAGATTTAGTTTTCATAGTTCGATCAGCAATTACTGCCATCGGAATGGTAATAGTGTTAACCATATCTACATCTGAGCTCGAACTCATTTCGGCTGAAACTTTATTCAATAATCTGGCAAATGTAACCTTTTTCTCTAGTTTTGGATCTGATATGTGACGCATTGACGGCGAGGTTGATGGAGTAGATCCTTCACTAGCAAACGACGTGTCCTTATTTTCAGCTCCATATTCAACAAAAGCTGGGGCGCTTTCTACTGTGCTTAAAGTTTTTTTCTCTGACATTTGTATTAGCTCTCCCATTGTTATCTTCTTTGAATGGTCATTGGCTGACGCTGGACTAATTAGCTGTTGCAGAATTTGCTTTTTCTCTGCTGCATTTTTCTTCGTCGGTGTCGAGTTATTCCGTTTTTTACGCGGCGATGGACTTCCTGTTTAATATAATATCAGTTATGTAATTATGAAAATTAAATTTTTATGCACTACGTTAAGCATTTGATACAACATCGAATTTCATAACAACACTACACAATATCCAGAATATTATCAAATGGAACTTCATTAATAGTTTAAATGAAAAGATATCATTATCCATGCCTTTAGTCTTATTTATAAAAAGGTTTGGTGCGTCTAATGGAAGCCAATTCTTTAGGATTCGTGCTTTAAAGTAAAATACAGCTGAATTTAAACTCGTGTGCCAATCAGAATTGTTATTGTTGTTTGTAATGTGTTATTTGTTTATCTACTTTTATGTAAAATTAATGTTTGTTGAGTTAATTAAGTAGCTATTGTTCTAATGCTGTTATTCTTTAACATTTGCATTGGTATTCTTATTTAAATGCACTTATTTATTCTTTCTAATATCATTAGCGAAGGACAGTGCTATGCATTTACGATCGTCATAAGTCATATCAGATTATTTCTGAAGTGAATATTCCCATCGTTGTTATAGTGAAGATATTTGGTAAAAGCAGAACAATGCCCAAAAGCATGCTAAAGCACAATCACACTACATAACAATCCAGACGTTATATTGTCAAGAAATCGATAAAAAATAACAAAGAATAGGTAAAAGTTAAGCAAACAAGTGAAGTATATCGAAAGCAAATATTGACAATGTAATCTCTGGAAGTAGTTGGACGATCTACAAAGGTGGTAACGAAGGAAGGAGCGACTAAGTAATAGATGCTTTGGTGTTAGTGCAAAGTCATAGGTGCACACATCGAAAGGTCTCATTTAGGCAGCAAGACCGTAACAATAGATTCATGGTTGGCATTCCACATAGTCATTCAAGTAGCGAAGGTACATCCAGTTACAATGGCTCCGGTCTTCCGCGCGCTCCGCAATAATTGATCCAATGTTGGTGAAGTTGAACAATTAATGAATTTGAAAAATTGCAAAAATAAACAGAACGGGACTTCTTTAAGTAAAAAATTTAAATAAAACGTTTAAACTAAAATTGAGAGTTAAGTTGGCTAACAAAATAATATTAACTATGTGGTGTTTATTTATAAAATGCATAAAAGAAGGAGAATTGTGATTTATATTGTTACTGAATAAATAAGAGAACAACTCAAAAGAAAGTATAAATACAACATAAATTGCAGATCAAAGAAATAATAAATAGTGGTACTGCCACACAGCAGTTTTATACTAATAAATAAAATTTGTTAGATAATAATTTTATCACATACATATAATTAGTGACCCGCATTAGCTTCGCCTGTTTAGCCTATTAACGTGGCATCATTTATATCTAAGATAATAATTATCAGAGATCATTTATTTATGAATTTTACAACTTAAAAAAGTTATAGTTTAGATTTCTCCTGGCATTGCCCTCTATATGTTTGTAAAGTGTAATTACAATCGGCTCAGCCATTTCCAGACAGATAGATAAATAGTCAGACAAAATTTTAAAAATGGGTGATCATGTCTTGATTGCATGAAAACGAATCCCTGCGCACAAGACAGTTATGTCGATATAAGAGAAGAGACACTTGTAGATACAATATACACCTATTATAATATTATTCGACAAAAAGCTTATGCGATGTAATATAAGAAATTGAAACACGTCAGCAAATTATAATTTTTATTAAATCCAAGCCCTTCAGGTATAATGATTTCTTATATTTACGCGAACACTACACATTGAAATAATACTAGTTTTTACGGAATTTATCGCGTATATTTAACTTTTTAAATACCCGACGTTTCGAAAGCTTTACAGCACTCATGGTCACGGGCAGGACTGAGATGTTCAACGTCCAGATGTCATAGTTAACCGCGGTTACCATAGAATAAAATTTTATTTTTGTTCCGATCTACACAGTATGAACTTGTGGTATCTTGAAGTCTTGCAGTTGTATGCTTGGGTTGGGATTTAATTTTACTTATTATAGGATCCCAAGCAGATGGTAGCACCCAGCCATCTTCTCTATTGAAATTAGGATGTTTTTTTTGATTTCTATAGCCTCGCGAATCATCCTTGGAAGGAATCGGTGTTCTTTAGCGAGGACTTGTGGTCTATCAAATCTGATGTAGTGCCGGGGGCGATCCTGTACATGTTCACAGGCTTCAGACTTCCCGGAGCGTCGATTCTTCACATCAGCTATATGTTCTTTAACGCGGGTTTTAATTGATCTTTTAGTTTGTCCTATGTAGGAGAGACCATATTCACAACCAAGCTTGTACATTCCTGCATCTTGCAGAGGGATATTACAAAAACTGACCAATCTTCTTCAGCGGCTTCAAGTATGTTTTGATGGAAGCGCGCTTCAAGATGTAGCCAATCTTGTCAGTGACTCCTCTAACATATGGCAGTACAGCAGGTACACGCTCGACAGTGGCCGGTTTCACTCGTTCACTGTGACGTAGGCGCGGGACCCGAAGCTTGTTGTCATGCAAAACTTGCTTGATATGAGTCTGGAGCTCGGCAGCCAGGTGTTCACTGTCACAGATCCCTCGTGCTCTCTAAAACAAAGATTTACCCACGGTAGCTAACTGTGAAGGATGGTGGTGAGAATCACCGTTTAAATATCTATCTGTATGGGTCTTTTTTCTATACACAGTATGGCTCAAGGTGTTATCAGGATTCCGAATTACTAATACATCTAGAAAAGCTAAGGAATTGTTCGCCTTTAACTCCATTGTGAACTGAATTTTAGAATTTATAGAATTAAGATGGTCTAAAAATGCAGTTACTTTATCTAAAGGTAGAATTGTGAAAGTATCGTCTACGTACCGCTTGTAGAATCTTGGATTTATGGGAGAAGTAAGCAGGGCTTTCTCCTCAAAGTCTTCCATGAATATGTCGGCGACAATGGGAGATACAGGTGAGCCCATCGCCACACCATCTACTTGCTTGTAGAACTCCTCCTTCCACAATAGGTAGCCAGATGTAAGGCAGTGTCTGAGTAATACTGCATATTCGATGGGCATGTTGTTTTCTTCCAGCCTTTTAATTACAATTGAGATGCAGTCTTCAACAGGTAAGCATGTAAACAATGTCTGCATATCAAAACTGACCATAGTTTCATTGTCTGCCAGATGTAGGTCTTTAATCTCGATGATAAAATGGTAGGAATCCTTTATGTGTGCTCTTATATGTCCCCTGAGCGGTGAGAGTATTTTCGCTAAGTGTTGAGCCAATCTGTAAGTTGGTGAATCGATTTGGCTCACTATGGGATGTAATGGAGCATTGGGCTTGTGTATTTTTGGTAACCCATACAATTTTCAGGTATTCTGTTGCAATATACTTTTTCCCTGCTTTCATTGTCCGATGCATCTATTAATATAGTTATTGAACAAAAATATTTAAAGCCAATGAGAAAGGAAGTTTATTAATTTTTTGATCCGAACTAATGGCTGTAAAATGTTACTCAATATTTAAAAAAAATACCGGTATGGGAGCATAATAATAATAAAGATTTCATTTTTTTCACCAGAATATTGTATATAATATCACAGCCACAATGTTATACTGTGGGAGACTGGTGCCTAACCTAGGCTTTATGCCTGTGTTTCAGGACGCTAGGTCTCCATAATAATAATATAACATCTGACAAGTTAAGACATAATCTAATATATGTGAAGAAAGTTTTTCGAGTTATATGTTATAGAACCGCTGTGTTGGAGCACTATAAAAAAATATTAAAAAAAACTAAAATAGTGGAGGATGCGAGTGAATGGTCGGTAAGCGTGCGGAGTGTGCGGAGAGCGCGGCGCCGGGCGGCCGGCGGTCCGACGCTCCACTCCTTACGTCCGTGCGGCGGCTTTAACAGATCGTCCAAACTAAACGTGCGGGCGGCGCGCGGACGCGGCGCGAGTCCCGTCACGGACGGCTTGCGAATACCCAGCCGCGTGAGCAGCGTGCGGTGCGGCGGCGGCTCGCTGCGCAGCGCCGGCGCTGTGGACAAACGCCGCGTCACAAACGCCGCGTCACAAACGCTGCGTCGCAAACGCCGCGTCACAACGCCGCGGTGCAACCGCCCGTTAGCGCTCCGCCTGCGGCACCGCGGCGTACCGCTGCCGCCCGCCACTCGCTAGCCCACACAGACACGGTTGCCACGCCGCCGGGACATAGCCAATGCGTCTCGGTATTTTCAATACATTTAGAGGTTTTAGAGTCGTAATTATCACTTTTAGAGACTTTCAGATTTGTTACCCAATAAGTCCATCAAAAACACTTCTTACCAATTCGAAGACTGTATTTTATGGGATTAAAGGCTTATTTTCATTTGATTTTGTCGATAATACGGTCTAAACACAACGCGCGGGGACTCCCTGCATGTTAATATAAGACGTGAGCTTGCGGATCTATAACGCTAATAAATATATAATGTGAAATAATGACCACTGAAACTTATCAGTCAATATTTAACATGCGGTGGAAGTCATCATCACCCCGAACGTGATGTGATCTCCTTTTTATTCATCTTAGGTACCGGTGTTTTGATAGACAATACGCATACTCAAAACAATTGGCATATGTTATTTGTTGTTGTTGTTTGTGAAATCTCCCGCACCTTGAATGAAACAATGAAAATATTTTCCCAAATATGACCCTTATTGCATCCCTTTCAGAAATGTCCCGCATCCCAAATGTAAGCCTGAACGTAAAATAAAGGCATTTTCTCAAATGTGGGCCTTAAAGCATGTGTTATGAGTCCCAGCATTCCGAATGCGTTCCCTATCGACTATTGAAAATAAGCCCTTATGTTATTTTAGTGATTCGAAATTTTGGTGTCTGAAATTTCTCAAAAAGTATATTTCTTTAAAACTATTACAACGAATTATTTTTTGTAAAAGAAAAGACAATAACTCAATATTCTTTTGTTTAGTGAACACTACAGTGAGAGATTACCGTGGCAAAAATTAAATAACAATACATTTGTTTTAATTGTAAGCCGGTAAGAAAGTGTAAGTGCGCACTGCAAAAATATTATGTAAGGAACTCTTGTAGCTATAAACACAACTTGGTATACCCCGGCCAGTGAAACATCTAACATTTCCACATATTACTCTCATACAATACTAAATTTCAACACATATTACATCTACTTTAATAACGACATTGGCGATGACTAACATTGAAATGCATTTAATATTTATAATAATGTAAATAAATTTTTAATCTTTTTCTGGCAACATTTGTCCTTGTCAAATAGCTTCAATTAAGGGAGATAATATAGCACCAAATATATCTTCAATATATTAAATTCTTATTGAAATAAATTTAGAATTAGTTTAAGATAAATTAAAAATTAATTTAATTATTGACAAAATAAATAAATATATTTCGTATATTATCCATCCACTCACGAAAGATTTTCCTTCACATTTAAATGCGTTATACGTGGGTAATACCTAATTTACTACGTATTTACACGAATTTCCATTTAGCAAAATACTTTGGCGTTAGATAAAATAAAATGAAAAAAAAAATGTGCATCTAACGAATGCTAGCGAATTACAGAAACTTATTAACATTTAAAATATTTTTAGTTCGTATGATATAATATCAATTGCTCAAGCCATCACAGAAATAACGATAAGAAGAAAAGATAGACGGAGCGCTATATACATTTGAAATGACGCTGAAATCATGCTCAACGTATTAACACGCATTGCTGAACGCAAAAATATATCCGTAAAACCAATTTTTAGATGTGTGCGTGAATGTGTTAATGCTTAAAATAAGTTGAGCGAGATATTAGGGGCATCCACGACTTTTTTGCCACCAGAGCGGTGCCATTTATAAATGAGGTATAATAATTTGACAGATTTCATAACGGGGAAGTTAATTTGTTCAAAAAATGTAAAGGTTAATGTTTCTCTCTATACTTTTACCACAAATATTCATAAAAGTAGAAAAGTTAAAAAAAGAGTCACAAATGTGCAAAAAATTAAAGAGCGAACCACTCAGGCACTGTTTTATATTTTAATATGATACTCTACAAAGTACAAACTGATAAATAATATAATAATAACATAAACACTCACGCCTCTCACCCAGTGGGGTAGGTAGAGACTACAGTTTTCCATTTATCACGATCCTGACACACCTTTCTCGGCTCCTACACATTCATATACCTACGCACTACGCTCGTCGGTTAAGGGTATTCCTAACTGGCCCATTTTGAATATATCACCAATTTGGTTATTCTATTCTATTTCATTCTATTCTACTCCTTTCCGACTCTGCCGTTCACTTCTGCATAAATTTGCTTTGGCACTCTTTCCTCGTTCATTCTTTCTACATGACCAAACCACCGAATCATTCCTTACTTAATCCTGGTCACAACATCTTGCACACAACACTCTTCTCTTATCACACAATTTCTCACCCTGTCACTCAGATTCAGCCCCAACATACTGCGTAACGACCGCGAGCTGATAAATTTTTATTTAAAACTAACTTCTCACTTAAAGTCATTGTGTTGCAAAAACTTCACATCAGTGTCAGTTAGCGACACCTGGTGAGTGGAAGATTATTAGCTCTCATTGGTTTCAGCGTACGTTACTGAAAACATATACCATGTTGTTGGATGTAAATGTTATTGGATGTATACCTATGGGTGCGTGAATGCGTGTTCTTATAATAAGTTATGTAGAGGTAGGTCTACGCTAGACGGGCCGAGCACGAGCGGAGCGTGAGCCGAGCACAAATTCGTGTAGTGTGGACCGACTTGTTAGCCTCGAACGAGCGCGCTTCGAGCGTTTGGTACGTGCTCGACTGTGCTCCGCCCATGTCGGTTTTTTGGCGAACACAAAGGAATTTGCATCGCATGCATCGATTTTCATGCTGTAGGCTAGTTGTACGTCCACACTTGACACCGCGAGTAGAGCGGCTCAGCTTGTGCTCAGCTCGTGCGCGACTCCTCTAGCGTAGACTTTTTTTAACCACTCGCAAATGTCCGCTCTTAAACGAACACATATGCACGTAAAATCACGTTGTTGGATGCAAATGTTTTTTTTATAAAGCGTGCATGAATTTGTGAATGCGGGTTCTTATGCCGCGGCCCCCTTATCACACGTCGCTATAAGCATATATTCGCCTTATCGCGATGTATGTAGCCACACATTCGTGAAAACTTCGTCACTTCGTGCGAAAGCGCAAGCACATCGCTTCGCTGTCGGTAAACTCTCGTACATCAAAGCGTTCTATCGGGATGGACTTCGCGTGTGCGGCCACACTTCAGTATGCCCACAGATACAGACATCGTGTGTAGCGGCTAGCGGATGAGTTAAAGTAAATTGGGGTTTGCGTCGTATTTCCGAAAATGATAATTTTTTGAAGTAATGAAAAGATGAATAATTTTATGACGCTTGCATTATTCTGAATAAATAATGCAAGCGTCTTAAGCTGTCCCCTGTTGCCAGAAACCTAATAAAAAATAATTATTTGCTGCCATATAATAAAGAGCGACCGCGGCGTCCATTTTGTGTTAAGCATGTGTTTATAGCGATAATATTTACAACGCGCAGTGTGGTTAGGCACCTTCGTCGTAGGCCAAAGGCGAAGTTTTATCGCAATAACTCTATCGCGATGTGTGTGGCCTAGGGAGAATTAGACATCTAAAAGTTGGTAAGTGCTAAAAAATATTAAAATGACTAGACATATATTATAAATAAGTATGTACGCATATGCACTAATTTACATATAAAAAAATAGGATAGAAATAGAAAGGTCAAATAGAGTTTTCCTTAAAATTTTATACATGTGCTAAATGTGTAAATTCGGTGCTTTTCTTATATCAACAGGCAAGGCGTTCCAGAAAAGTATTGCCTGAATTGTAAAAGAAGAATTAAAGAAACCAGTACTATATGCTGAGGTTTATGAATTTTGAAGACGTTAGAGGAACGAGGTTCACGGTCAAGACTTGAATACCGAAAGTGGAAGTTATCTTTAAAATAAGAAGGACATGTCAGATCATTTAATATAGAGAAAAGGGTTAGTAAGATTCTGGAGTAACGCCTCTGACGATTTGTCAGTTTCAAGCTTAAATGGCTGATATGCTTAATTTAAGCTCAGAACGAAAAGCAGTGATGTAGTCATATTTTATTTAGTTAAATCTTATACAGTTGTTGAGAAGGCGCCCAACTTGTTAAGAACATTTTGCCATTAATTTACAGTACACGTTACCGTAAATTAATCGTACGGTACTTACGGTAAATGCATGTTCTTAAAGTAATTTAAGGAAGTTTTCAATTCTTCTCGCCGTCATTAGAAATGTATGCAGCGCTGGATTGAGTAATGTTAAATGTTTCTGAATTCGCAAGTAATAACATTATTTTAACATCAATATGGGATATAAATTAATAATATACGCCAAACGTCCAACCATCCCAAGTACGGTGCGTTATTTAAAAATGCATGGGTACAGCTTGTATAATTGGACAAAAACGAAATAATATGGCTTTACGGTGAAATACGTGTATGCAAATTTGATTCCTATTAACTGACAGATAGAAGCTAAACTCTAAAGAAGGAAAGCAATCGTAATTAGTGTGCCCATGAATCGTTTTTTGTAAAACAAGTAATTAATTTTATCAAATTAAAGATTCTCACTGAGCCTAAAGATTTGTCCTCCAACGAAAAAGTACACTATGAAAAAAACTTACGTCTTGCGCATCTGTCAGCTTCTTCGGCGAGGAGTTTTTCTATTTTCTCCGGGAAGTGTCTTTTGGCGCACCAGACGAGACCTATGATACCGAGCACCACGAAGACGGCGATCAGGCCAAGCCAAAAGGGCTCATGAAGCATTCTGGTCCCAAGGCCGACGATGTTGGGTGAAGGATTCGGTATCTCACATCTATGATAAAATATTTATTAACAATATTTAGAATAGATTATTTTTTTATTCAATAAAGATTATAAGTAATTCTTATTGAGTCATTATTTTCTTTTATCACTGGTTCGGAAGCAATCTCTACCCAGGGAATATGGAGTGTAGATGACACTCTATACTAGGGAAGAATAAGCAAAAAACGCAGTGGTACCAATTTTTTCCAAAGTTTATTATACAACAAGAATTCAAGCAGTACAAACTATTTCTTACAAAAACAGCTAGTAAGCAAGTACCTCATTCCCTGGGATTATTATCAACTATGTATTTGTTTATATTATAATTACGCTTTTCATGTAGTTTTAATTTTTTATAGTGTAAGGGTAACAAACGAGCACTGTAAGGTAAGTGGATGCTGTGATTAACTCTCAATCGATTAGGAGTTAAAGCGCAGATGCATTGTCACCCCTGAGGACTAAGATGGAATGCCTCGTTTCCAGTAAAAAGGGTCTCTGGTTCTCTACACTCACCATACGAAACACAGCAGCATTAAGCTACTATTTTACGCTGGTATTCTGTGAGAGCGTGGTCCTACCCTGGTCGAGTGGACCCATTCGTACTACAACCACTGATCGCTGGCAGCTGCAGCGTGACTCTAACACGTTAGAAATTATTTATAAAATATTTAAAAGAAATTTTGTAGATTTTTTCTTTTTAGGTATTGTATTAAGCCAAATTTATAGTAGTTGTGGCCGTGGAAGGAAAGGTGATCTCCCGCCGGGCAAGGTGTTGTGCCCAGGGAGCGGCCAAAGCTCCGTGTGATAGTTTGGAGCTGTTATATATACAGTAGGGCCTCGTTAATCCGGAGAAGCAAAAACAAGGCCCTTTCCGGATTATCGAGGCATCCGGATTATAGTATGCCATATTTAGTTTAGTGGTAATACAACACATGTTTAACCTTACTTGTTTTAATCAATTTTCAAATTAAAGTATAAAGACAAAAATATACATGTTCAAAATTACAACTGTGTAAGAAAACAGTAAGTTAAAATGAAACATTAATTAATTCTTCTTGAATTCACCGGGACCACGTTCTGTTAGGCTAATAAACTTCAAGATTTTGTCTTAGTTTTTCTTTATGTCGCCTACAGTTGACCTGCCTTTGCCACACTTCCGAGCAATGACAGGGTAGCTGTCACCTTTACCTAACATTTCTATAATCAGCGATTTGTCTTTTATTGTTAATGTTGAATGTTTACGTGGCGGCGCCATGGTGTTAGCGAATTGAACGCGCTAAATTCACTGTACGTACTACACGAAAGGCAATAAACAAAAAACTGACGACGCCTGATAAACAGAAGAAGAAGAGTGATTGACTCACGCAGCCCACACCAAGAGTTGTCGGCAGCCCGCACCTGCACCCGCCCGCCTCCCCGGAAGCCAATTGAACGCGCTAAATTCACTGTACGTACTACACGAAAGGCGATAAACAAAATACTGACGACGCCTGATAAACAGAAGAAGAAGAGTGATTGACTCAGGGCAGCCCGCACCTGCACCCGCCCGCCTCCCCGGAAGCCAATTGCCCGGCCGGATTACAGCGATCACCGAACAAGCGGGAGTCCGGATTACCGAGGTCCTACTGTATACTGTATATGATTCGGAACTTTGATAGCGCGATTTAGGCTTCGATATGTTTCGCTTGTCGCGCGACGACAGCGCCGCCATATAGTATTGTATATTATATTTATTACTGCTCGTAGAAGCTCAAGGGCTAAGTGCTCGCTGTTATTTCAGTAATGCCTCTTAGTTGGCTACCATTATTTTATAAAAATACAGTAACTACAACTGCGGTTGCCAATCCGCTCGCCAGTCTATGACCAGTGTTTTGTAGAAAATACATTAATTTGCAATTTATAATATAGATATAAATACACGAAAACTTATACAATAATTTTATCCTATAACTAAATGTATTAAACAATAGAAAAACAAAATTATACAAGTATTTAGAAAAAAATATTTTTGGAAACTGTGTTATAAAACCGAGATTCTCTAGTACGTTACTCGCCTAAAACGCGATAGCCCTGACTGCGTATATAGCCTGAGTTACCGTAAGATTGTAGTTACATCATGTAGGTATCTTTTAATATAAAATGAGGGTGACAAACGAGCACAAAGTCCATCTGATGGTAAGTGAATACTTTGGCGCATAGACATCTTCATTTATCCTCCGATTAACGATCAAAATGCAGTTGCATTGTCACCTCTGAGGAGTAGGTAAAATGCCTCGTTTCCAGTACAAAGGGTCTCTGGTTCTTTACACTCACCATACGAAACACAGCAGCATTAAGCTGCTATTTTACACGCCGGTATTCTGTAAGAGCGTGGTCCTGCCCGGTCGACTCCATACATTCGTGCTACGAGCATAATATAGCTGCAGCGTGGTTCTAGGACGTAGAAAGAGTGACAGGGGCCTGGTTAGATGAAGCGCAGGTTACCTCTTGCCCTTCCAGGAGGGGTTGCACTGGCAGAGGAAGCCGCCGTCGCGCTCGAGGCAGGCGCCGCGGTGGTTGCAGGGGCGCGCTGCACACGGGCGCACGCGCTCGCCGCAGCGCCGCCCGCGCCAGCCGCGCGCGCACGCACACACGAACGCCTCGCCGCCCGCCCCAGCCCCCGCCGCCAGCGAGCAGTTCCCGAACACGCACGGCGAGCGCTCGCACGCCGTCAGCACGCAGAATATACCTGCAGTACACATACCGAAAACACTATTATAATGGAATGTCAGAACATAGACTGTGTCACAGCTGTAGATGGCGCAGGCGTCGGCTGTTTTTAAGGCGTATACGAAATAAAATTACGTACGCTTTACATACACTTATCTATACAAATGTATAAATAAAATCGGAGTGTTTATAATAATAATAATCATTTTAACATTTGTGTCCGCCCGCGCTAATCTCCGGAATTGCTGAATAATTACAACGAAACTCTACAAACAAATAGAGACTAATGACAGGAGAGATCTAGGCTATACTTTATCGGAAAATATTGTTTTTTTTTAAATACGATAAATTAATGATATCTTAAATTTACACGAACACTACACATTGAATTAAACTATTATTTACGGATTTTATCGCGTTTAATTACTACTTTAATTTATTTTTATTATCTCGACGTTTCGGTTGCTTTACAGCACCCATGGTCACGATAGGGACTGAGATGTTTGACGTCACAATGTCATAGTTAGTCCGGTTACCCTCCGTTTTTGAATATTAATTTTAGGTCCGATTTATGCAAAACGAGCTTATAGTATCATGAAGTCTTGCAGTGGTATGCTTTGGTTTGGGTTTAATTTTGTTAATCATAGGATTCCAAGCAGATGGCAGCACCCAACCATCTTCTCTATTGAAATTTGGATGTTTTTAATGTCAATAGCCTCGCGTATCATCCTTGGTAGGAATCGGTGTTCTTTTGCGAGTATTTGTGGTTTATTAAATCTAATGTAATAGTGGGGACGATCTTGAACAAGTTCGCAGATTGCAGAATTCCCGGAGCGTCGTTGCTTCGGTTTAAAGAACTTTATTTCTCATTAAGACAATAAGTCACTTACATGAGAACAATAACATCTATATTATAATTCTAGTGCGTGTGGTAGTAAAAAAATAAATAAAAATTATACCGGTCGATCGTTAACCAAGAAGCGATTTCGTTGTGTTCCTATCAACTATAAGGCGGTGGTCCAAGTATAATTTGGCTAATCTTTCCAATATGGACCATCGATTTTAAAGCCCATATATTTTTTGTAGATAGTACTCACTAAAACAAAGCGTTTTGCAAAGTTTTAGGTTGCGGAAACTTACGGTTCATGAGCTATATTTTTTTAAACTTTTCATACAAATTGGTAAATAACACGCAATTACAAAATAAATTTGACAAATGATTGATGTTAAACGTCAGTTAGTGTAGGGTTCCGAATATTTTGAAAGTATCGATACCTACTCGATACCAAGTATCGTATCAAAAGTATCAATACTACTTGGTATCGAGTACATTTCGTTAATTTTGGAGACGAAAAATTATGACAAACCAATTAGATGCATAGGAAGAGCTGATAAGTGCAATTATATATGTATATAAAGTAGAATAAAGTTTACTCTATTTAAGTTCCACCTTAGTACTTGTATTTTATTGTTTGCAACTTTCTGTATTATCTAATTCTTACTACAATAAAGTGTTTACTTACTTATTGACTTACTTATTTAATATTCAAAAAGTACCCAAAACCGAATCAGAGCACCCCACTATCCACGTGGTCTTGTCTGCCCTACCCCTAGAGTGTATATAAGAGCCCGGAGGCGCGGAGGGAGAGCAGTGCCCGCCCGCCGTAGGGAAGCGCAGGCACCGAGATCCCAGGTGCCTGTGCTTCCCTACGCTAGGGCGGAGGCACTGCTCATCCCGCAGCGCCGGAGCTGCCACGGAGCGCCGGAGCACAACTTCCCCGGCTTCTTACCCCCCCCCCTAGTCTCCAAAATTAACGAAATGTACTCGATACCAAGTAGTATTGATACTTTTGATACGATACTTGGTATCGAGTACGTATCGATACTTTCAAAATATTCGGAACCCTACACTAATTGACGTTTGACATCAATGATTTGTCAAATTCATTTTGTAATTGATGTAATTGCGTGTTATTTGCCAATTTGTATGAAAAGTTTAAAAAAAATATATCTCATGAACCGTAAGTTTCCGCAACCTAAAACTTTGCAAAACGCTTTCTTTTTAGTGAGTACTATCTACAAAAAAAAATATGGGCTTTGAAATCGATGGTCCATATTGGAAAGATTTACCTATAATTTTAATGCATAGTTTCATTATTATAAATATATTCAAGTAATCTTCTTTTAAAAATATTGATTGAAGTCGCTTCTTTCACATGTTTTGGAAGTTGATTGTATAACTGTGCTCCCCCAAATGAAATGTTATTTTTTCCATAGTTTGTTTTTACGGCAGGTAACACAAAATTGCTGGCTCAGCGGGTTATATATTTGTTTATTTGACTTTTGTTGTGAATGTTATGTGTTAGTGAATAAGCTTGTGAGTTATCTTGTAGATAAGTAGACATGTATTATACGTAAAAAGTTGTTTAATATTTTAAAATTTTTGTGTTTTTGTAAATCGTTTTCGATGGTGTTAAGAAGTCAAAGTTGTGTTGTGTTGTTGTTGTGTGCTTCACGTCAGCTATAATATGTTCTTTCACGCGTGTTTTTATGGATCTTTTTGTTTGACCTATGTAAGAGAGACCACATTCACACGATACGATAAATTGATAAAATAATTGGTATTTGATTATCTTAAGTCTAAATAACGCTATATTAACAGACACCATCTAGGCGAAGTTCTCCAACTTCGCTCACATAAATAATACCAGTGTTTTCTTAGTAATTTTCTTGGACGTATAAAAAACTCTTTTTTTGTACTCATTTTAAACAAAATCAGTGTTAAATTGTTGTAAAACAACGTTCGCAATTTACAAAAAGAACTAGCGTTCCCGCATGCCTGTCGGTAAAGAATTCGCGGAGAATTTCGTAACTTAGTGCGCAATGTAAATATAGAACCATTAAAGATACTCACTAGACCAGTTCTGCGGCCTTCATCATCACAAACATTTTCAACAACCCATTAAAGTATTGTATTGTGTAGTACTGGGTCGTAGGACCTCTCCCGTTGTAGGACGGACATGCTTTAAAGCGAGGTTGCGGTACTGTTTGACTCGTTTTGAACCTATGTTAATTTACTGAAATTTAATTTTTACGCAAAAACAAAATCATTTTATAAAAATTACGCGACTAGTAATAATTGGTTCGATAAAAAGATTATAAAAATAATAATAAACCGCTATTTAAACTATAATTATAGACATTCCTGAAAACGTGTATATTGCAGATATTTATGAAACCGTGCAAAATATGTGAAAAATGAAAAAGCTAATTATTTTTTAGGTCACGTTGAAATTACATTCTGAAAATACGGTTGGCCTTACATCCCTGGAACTTCCGGATAATTTCAAATGCAAAGCGCTCTAAATTCCACCTATTTAGCTCCCAATTTGAAAAACCACATTTTTAATTTTTTCAAAATTGATTATTTCACGAACAAATCAACCTATTTTGACGAACTTGACGGTGTTCGACGCAGTTTTTTTAAACACTCATAGTTAATTTATTACATCCAAAACGATTCGAGAAAAAAGTTCGAAGTTATTTTAAAAAAAAAAAAAACTTTATAGAGTTTTTTTTGCTAACGATTTCTCTTTAACGCATCAACCGATTTTAATGAGGTTTGTCCGTTTTTTGTTTTGGAATTGATCGTTACATCTATTTAAAAGTAATTGCAAAAACATTTTTTGAAAAGTTTATTTTTTAGATTTTTCAAAATCTAAGTTTGGTGAAGACCTTTCGAACGCCGCTGAGTTCATTATACACACATACACACACATACATACAGACATAGTGACAACCTTGTAGAAAAAGTCAGAACGGCTTCCTAGGAGCTCAAAACGTTGAGATGTGATGAAAACTCGATTTTCGAAAACTGAGGTGAAACCTATAACGTCCAGACTTTTTGAAAATTATTAATTTTTATAGCGGGAACTTAAACATTCGTTTTTATTTTTGTGTCATGAATTAAATAAATAAATTCAAATAATAGCGCCCATCAGCACTCGCCGAGATATTGTCGAAATTGGATGTGCATTATTTGTTCTAAAATTCTCTCTATTGCCTTTCGTTCGACAATTGCGGAGAATAAAGCAACGTTTTCATCTACACACCAAAACTATCAGAGGCTATACTAGAAATTATACACTCTAACTTCTCTTTCACAAATCACTTAGAGTCTCTTTCACAACACAATATAGTGTGATGTATTTAATCTTATCTTCTTATTCATAAGCCCGTAAAATTCCAATTTCTCCCACGTGGGAAAGATTTGTTTTAACCGTCACGCTTAACCTTCATTACTGTCATCCATTACTATCAAACGTCTAAACGAAGTAATTCACAATTCACACGGGAGTTACATAATCATATTTTGGGTTTATCTGATATCTGATACTTGTCAGGTTTTATCTAAAGCTAAAACTTGAAAACGGCTTGAAAGATTATAACGAATTTTTTTGGTGCGATTGAGTGGGTCTCTGGATGTTTTAGATTCACAATTGGATCCGGCAGATGGTGCTGTCGTCGAGATCCACAAATCACCTGCGCGAAACCGGAGCGGATCGTTAATCTGAAGATAAAAAAATCTTAAATTGCTCTTAAATCACTTACCAGTATAATATCCAGCACATTGGCAGAAGTTTTTTGATTCGTCCGTAGCACAGCGACCGCCATTGAGGCATGGATTCGGATAACAAGATTCTAAATTCGTCTCCTCGGGTATAAGCAGCAATTTATTGTGATATTCAGGATCTGCAAAACAATAAAGAAATTTTTTTTGACATGGCAGGTGCATAAAACAACGTGAATGATGGTCGACGATAAGTGAAACTTCCTTTTTTATCAATTTTAACAATTTTAGGTTCTTTTATGATTTTTATATAGCTGGTAGGATTTTTTTTCCACCTAAAACCTCCGTCTGGGTAGACAACCATTCTCTTATCGTTTTCTTGAAGCATCTGTGCGTGCACTACTGTGTAAAGGTTAAAGGTACCCTGTATGATTACATGCTGTAAGGTTCCACCTCAGTCTTCAGAGGCGACAACACGTCTGTGGCCCAATCCACTTTGTTGCTGTAGTCACTAACCATCAATGTAGTTCCCCTGGTGTTGCAGATGTTAATGGACGGCAGTCAATACTTACCACTAGGTGAGTTGCGTGCTCATTTGCCCCCTCTTTTAAAAAAATCAATCAGGGGTGTACTGTTAATTCCTTTGTCACTTCATTATTATTAAAAAAATCTGTATGGTGGCGCAGTAAACGATTTATCCAATTCATCCCGTGGGTGTCGTAATCGGCGACTAGGGAAATGCTAGAATGACCTTCGGCGGATGGCGGTATACTATTTCTCATATGCCAGATACAAAACATACATGCCGGGGACGAAGAGTAGCGTCAAAGGTGCAAGACATTTGGTACTGTGGTCATCAATCCGCCTGCAGAACATCTCAATGGGAGAGGTGAGAGGAATTTCTAGCATCCATATTTGGCAGTGGACTATTCATTCATTGGTTACAGCCGTGGACTATTAAGATTTTTTTCATAGAATAAGAGTGACAAACGAGCGCACAGTCAACCTGATGGTAAGTGGGGGTTGTGGCCCAAAGACATCGCGTTGTTACCCCTGAGGACTAAAATGGAATACCTAATATCCAGTAAAAAGGATGTCCGGTTCTGTAAACTCACAACATGATTCGCCATACAAGCACAGCAGTATTAAGCTGCTATTTTACGCTGGTATTCTGTGAGAGTGTGGTTTTTTCCCAATCAAGATTTTTTCCCCATTCGTGTTGCAACCGTGGAATATAAGGACTCATAAAGAAGAAGAAAAATGTAACACTCACCCTTATTCACTATGAGCGAAACATCAATGCTAACACCACGTTCATCGGCGTGTTGCGTCACCATCAGAGAATGCAGGTAGGAGTTGATAACTAAAGGCGCTGTGCTTTCTATTTTCCTTTTACCCCTGCCGACCTCACACAGCGTCCATTCAGTGCCATTGTTGTCGGTGTAACTATCTCTAACCTGATTTAATTTTATGAATGAATATTGAATAATCGATAAGTTAAAGTTTCTAAATTTTATTATAAAGTAGCCACACTTTTTACTTGATAATAAGTCTCAGAGGATGTAGATACCGTGGAAGTTCGTTTCTAAAATGTAATAAATTGCTTTCATTTCTAATCTGTTTATATCTGTTATAGCTAAGTAGGAATTAATTGTGGAACGCCAGCGTTAATAGGCTTGTAATTAGCGTATTTTTTTAATAGAATAATGGTGACCAAGAAGACCTGATGGTAAGTGGATGCCGTGGCCTATAGACATCTATATTTATCCGCGATTAATAATCAAAACGCTGATGCGTTTTCACCCCTGACGACTAACCTGGAATGCCTCACTTCCAATGAAAAAAGGTCTCCAGATCTCTACACTCACCATACGAAACTCATCAGTATTAAGCTGCTATCTGGTCCTTCCCCGGTCAAGCCGACCCATTCGTGTTACAACCATAATATAGTTGCAGCGTGGCCTTACCACGTAAACCGTCTACTACCGTCTTGATGCTCCAATCAGCAAGGAAACTAGGGATCCAATTGCACAATTTCTCAGGAAGCCCATAGGAAGAGAGTTTTGAAAGAATCGCTTTGTGCCAGACCCGATCGAAGGCCTTTGCTATGTTCAAACTAACGACCAATGCCTCCCTCTTGGACTCTACTACCTCCGCCTATCTATGAGTTAGGTAGACGAGAAAATCACCAGCTGATCGGGTCCTATCAGGTTTAGATTTTATGATCCTACTGTTTTTGTCCATAAACAAAAAATAATAATAAGTTGATTATAGTGTCACTTTTCGGATAATTAACAGATAGAACAAGAAATATAATGTCCTTCAGAACGAATTTTGGTCACGGTGGCCTGCCTCAATGGAGGCTAGCATAGCCGCAGAACAGGATTATAGTGCCCAAGTTTATGCGCAGGCACAGGTGCACTCTCTATTCCGACTCTCGTAAACCGATGGGACGGTAAACCGACACGACCGGAGGGAGATCAGGCGCAGGACCAACGGCTTTACGAGCTTTCCGAGGCACGGGGGTGAGACACCGCCAATTCCTGACTCCGGGCAGCTACTGAGAAAACCTCAATAATAGATTTTTGGCCCGACCTAAGATTCCAACACAGGACCTCATGATTAGCAGTCGCACTACTACAACCACTAGACCAACGAGGAAGTCATCAACTATATAATAACTACAAAAGAAATATAATTAATTAGCCTTACCTCGATCCACCCGTTCCCTTCCCCGCATGGCCATATTGGTGAAGGTGGAGCAACAAGACGGGTTTTTGAAAATGCAGCTGATAGCGTATAACCATGCGGCGCCATGATCCTAGTTGATATTATAGCGCGCAGCGGTGGCAGGCCTGGCCAATTAGGAGCCGACAGTTGACCGGAGTGGAGACCTCGGAGTTCCACCACATGGCTTAAATTGAGATAACTTACTGAAAACAGTAGAGTATCGGTGTAACAATTGAATCAATTATAAAAGTAGCCAAGTTTGCTCGGATTTTTTTTTATAAAACTGAAGTGGCTTACAAACTTACAGCCTGATGGTAAGTGGCTACTGCAACTAATTCTATAGCACAAAGAATGCCACCTATAGGTTGTCATTTATAAGGACTAAGATGGAATAGTTCTCTACAACCATCAGACTGCTATTTGACAGCAGAGATAAGTAAGATGGCGGTATCTACCTAGACAGATTACTTGGTAAAAAATGAGTTTTACCACCTAACAGACGTCTTTACACACGTTTGTGGTGGCGCGCCACAAGCAAAACACGTCGAAACCTAAATCGCGTAATCAAAGTTCCGAAGTAAAACAGTATATATAGAACAGTTTCGTACTACCCCCTTTTTCTCCTACGGCCAAAACTTTTTTATTGGCTGTTAAAATGAACGATTAAAATGAGATTATTCATTCATTCATTAGAGATATTCATAGCCCTGTTACCTATAAAAGGGAACTCTAGTTTTTATTGAGTTTTACTATAATCATGTTGATGTCTATCTCCTGTTTCGTTTCCCTCTATCGCCTCTTAATCTTACTAGCCCAAGAAGAACATACAGTATAGTCATAGCGATGAAACGCTATGACTATACTGTATGTTGTCGGAAAAGCCGACATAAACAATGAATTGTATTATTATATATTGTATGATTTTATTTTATTTCACGTTTTAACAAATTCCCGTATATGTGTAAACTGATGAAACTTTAATTCCTTATCTTTAAATGAGGACGACCCACAGATTTTTTTACCGTACATGTAGTGTGAACCATTTTAATTTATTTACGTGACAGGACAACTCAAGCGGACAGCTCCTTTCTGTATATAATGTTGTAGTCTTTGACAGCTCCCAAGCGATTAATGCAAAGACTACAATATTATATACGGAAAGACTAATGGCTGCTCGGGAGCGCTCTGCTCGTGTGTCGCCCCGCACTGCACAGCACCGCACCGTACGCTTGCCCTGTCTAGACGTTTTCGGTGACCGGCTGTTAGTAGTAGTTAGACTGTGCCCACGTGCTGATATAGGGTAGTGGATATTTTAATGCTAAGAGTTATAAACTACTAACCTGTCTTGAAATGTGCTAAATAACCCGCACCAGTGACGTTTTCACCAGTCCTCAGCCTCAGCCTCAGGATTTCCGATCGAGAGACGAACATCCCGTTTGTAAGTATCTTTGGATTCACGAAAGGTCTTATAGGAATGCTCTCGGAGTCTATTTGGATTTCTAGAAAAGTGTCCTCGGGGATAGCCTCGGTTACGTTTAAGGGAACTCCATTCTCGAACGTTCCATATCCAAAGTCAAAGTGGCTGATATTAAGAAATACTCGCTTTCCTTAAAAGTAAGGAATAATAAGAATTAATTTACTATATTAAACAACATGAGTCTCAATGTAAATTAAGTAATATATAATAAATATTCTCTTGAGGAGTCTATGACCGGTATTTCGGGACAGCCTAGAGTATAAGCTCAAACAACACATTGTAAAACTTTGGTAGTCAGAACCATAATATTATGTTAAACATCATGATCAGCTTCATTATTACAGCCGAATAACAAATCCACTGTTGAATGTGGGAATCCCCTAAGAAATACCACAAAGCACCATTTAGTAGCAAAACACCCTACACTTCGCTTAGCGGTACGAGGAAAGTTACACAAAGTTTCACAATTGATATTTGAGCTTGAGTGTCCTATATATTCTTTATTAAGAATCAAAATGCAGATGCATTGTTACTCCTGAGCACAAATATGGAATGCCGTGCTTTTAGTACGAAATACAACAGCATTAAGCTGTTATTTCACGCTGGTATTCTGTGAGAGCGTGCGTCCGTTCCCGGTCGAGCCGACCCATTCGTGCTCTCACCATAAAATAGCTGCAGCTGATTTTACCACGCTTAAACGATGTTGCTCCAAAGAACGGGTCATGTGTGAGCCAGAGAAATAGAGATTGGCGACGGAGAATTTATCCCCATTGCGTGCCAAGGTTGTCCGTAAGAGACGATTATGAGAAATTCCATAAAGCTCTCATGGCCATTGGGGTATGTCTGTAGCCTTCTTTATTGAACTTATTTGCAGTTGTCCATGGGTCGCTTAGGCACTTACGATCAGCAGGGCTGTAAGCACTTTTGTTACTTTTATATAATAATTTATCTATATTAGCATTTATCGCTATGCAAACATTAATGTTCTTACTTTTTGCTTCAGCTGAAATTTAAGTGTGGTAGGATTAGAGATACATTTATTTTAAACCTACAGCTTAAATAATAATATTCTAATTTATATTTCTATTGCAATAATGTTCTTCAAAATTGTTTTATTAAACTCACCTGTGGGAGCTAGTATGTCAATAGTGCAATCGAGGCCAGGTAGTAAAAAATGCGGGTAGTTTGGACTACGTAGAGTGCCTTCTTTGGATGTAAAGGTCTGAGATGGACAACCAACTAATTCCACTGCACGCCACGACAGGGAGAAACCAGACCCTTGAATGCTAAAAGAAAATCAAAGAAAATCAATCAAAGTTAGGTGTTGAAACATTTAATTTTATTTATAAATTCAAAGTTATAGAAGTTGTGAAACAGCAATTAAAATTACAGACTAATACGGCCCATGGCTGGGCAGTGTTAGTCTGCAACTTCTCTGATTACCGTCCGTCATGGAGGATGAGTGAGCGATAAGTTCATCGTGTTGCTTGTAGTGCGTGATGGCGGACTTAAAAATATTTTATATCTCAGACATGCAGGTATCCTCGCGATGTTTTCCTTCACCGCCGAGTATGTGTTAGCAATTATTTGAGTTTAAATTACAATAATTAACAATTTTATTAATGCCGGCGGGGATTGAAAGAGGGTTGCTGGTGTATTGTAATATTTTTGGTGGTCCCATAGGCTGGCCAGGAGATGAGAAAGAACAAAAAAAAAAATCAAAACTTATTTTTAAATGTATCTCTATTGTGGACTGATCTGCATCTTATTATGTTGGCAAATCGATCTGTCTCCGCCTGCATCAATAGAATTCTTGAATGAAGTTTTATGTGCTAATGTACCAGTTGCTCTCCAGTGAAGCAAAGCTTAGAAAGGAAACATGTCTTTGAATTATTTTTTAATTTCTCAGGCATTTTGAATCCACTAACACACGTTTATTTATTTTTATTTATTTATATTATTACGACTTTTTAAATCCAATTACATGTGATTAATAATTTCAAAAGGCACATGAGTATAAACTATGCCAAGAGAAAAAAAAATACAAATTATATATCACTACATTACTATATTAATGACAACAGCACATTCCAACTATCCGCAAATATATCAAAGTATGATATATATGATATATTTGCGGTGGCCGGAGGCCCAAATTCCCCCCCTCCCATCAACATGGTAGCGGAATTAAATAATGATAGACTACCCCGGTACGAGGGTACCAGCACTCCTGGAAAATCCCTCGCTGAGCATCCACGACCATGTTTCTCCACTTCTGAGCGTGGGGGCTCAGGCTGCCTCACTTATTCTGGGGGGGGGGAGGGGCAAAATACCGCTCAAGACTACAACTGCTCGGGGCAGACAGAGCAACAAGACCAAGGCAACCCCTGCCACGCTGTCCGTGAATTGCTGCAATATCAGGAGACTTCACTCTACCTAAACGCCGTCCACTACCATCTCGAGACGGCGAGGCCGGCTCTGCTCTTCCTGACCGAGACGCAGGTGTCCTCTCCGGCTGATGTCTCGTATCTCTCCTACCCGGGGTACAAACTGGAACACTCCTTTGTGCCTCGGGCTGGAGTTTGCGTTTACGTCAGAGAGGACATCTGTTCTCGACGCCTCGGCAGACTTGAAGGTTCGGACCTGTCCATCCTTTGGCTACGCGTAGACAGCGACGACCATCCGCGCGTCTACGGGTGCCTCTATAGGTCCCATAGCGGTAATGCCGAAACAGACCGACTCTTCGACCACGTCCAAATGGCTACACATTCGTTGCAGCAGATCCCCTCCGCAGAGATTGTGATCCTCAGCGACTTTAACGCCCATCACGCCGAATGGCTTGGTTCACGTTTAACCGATCATGCGGGGAGATCTGTTCATGATTTTGCCTTGGCTTATGGTCTGACACAACTGGTTACTTCGCCTACGCGGATTCCAGATGTGGAGGATCATGCACCTTCCCTGTTGGAATTTCTGCTGACCTCTCACCCGGACGGGTATCAGATTTCCGTCGAAGCCCCTTTAGGCTCCTCGGACCATTGTCTTGTCCGGAGTGTGGTGCCACTCACGCTGAAATCGCAGTTGCATTCTGCAGGCTGCCGCCGTGTTTGTCACTATAGGTCAGCCGATTGGGATGGGATGCGGTCTTTCTTTGCATCCTACCCTTGGGGGCGGGTTTGCTTCTCGCCGGACGATCCCAACGTTGTTGCGGATTCTGTCGCTGATGTGGTACTTCAGGGTATGGAACTTTTTATTCCTTCCTCTGTGGTGCCCATTGGAGGCAAATCTTAGCCATGGTTTGGTCGCTCCTGTAAAATAGCATCATGCTACAAGCAGGAGTGCTACCGAGCCTGGACTGACGCATCAGCGTCCCGGGATGTAAACACCAGTGCTATAAAAAAAGAAGTATAATTCCGCCTCTAGGTCCTTCAAAAGAGTCATTTGCAAGGCAAAGTCAGAGCACATAGGCAGAATTGGCGAGAAACTAGTTCGCCTTCCTTCTGGAACCCGTGCATTCTGGTCTCTCGCCAAGGCTGTCCAGGGGAATTTCTGTCAGCCATCTCTTCCATCTCTGCACAGGGAGGATGACTCACTGGCCCATACCGCAAAGGAGAAAGCCGATCTTCTAGGCACTTTCTTTGCGTCCAACTCGACTCTCGATGACGGGGGGAGTACGCCGCCGACCATCCCGCGGTGTGAGTGCTCCATGCCGGAAGTGCAGTTCACACAGCGCTCGGTTCGCAAAGCACTCCTCTCCCTGGACATCCACAAGTCAAGTGGGCCTGACGGAATCCCCCCAATTATGCTGAGGACGTGTGCTCCAGAGTTGGCACCGGTTTTAACGCGTCTTTTCCGGTACTCCTACTCCCTAGGCGTAGTCCCAAAATCATGGAAGACGGCTTTCGCCCATCCGATCCCCTAAAAAAGGCGACCGCTCAGACCCGTCCAACTACCGGCCTATCGCCATCACCTCCTTGTTCTCCAAAACAATGGAGTCTATTGTAAACTGCCAGCTCATGAGGTACCTTGAGGATCACCAGCTGATAAGTGACCGCCAATACGGTTTTCGCCGTGGCCGGTCAGCTGGTAATCTTCTGGTCTACCTAACTCATAGATGGGCGGAGGCAGTAGAGTCCAAGGGGGAGGCATTGGCCGTTAGTTTGGACATTGCGAAGGCCTTCGATCGGGTTTGGCACAAAGCGTTTCTTTGGAAGCTCCCTTCCTATGAGCTTCCCGAGAAATTGTGCGATTGGATCACCAGCTTTCTTGCAGATCGGAGCATCAAGGTCGTTGTAGAAGGTGCAAGCTCCGATTGCAAGCCTATTAATGCTGGTGTTCCACAAGGCTGCGTGCTATCGCCAACGCTGTTTCTTCTGCATATCAATGATATGTTGCAAACCCGTAACATTCATTGTTATGCAGATGACAGCACTGGTGATGCTCTTTACACCGGCCGAGCCAATATTTCTCGGGAAAACGTCTCCGATTGCCGGGACAAACTTGTGTCTGAAGTCGAGTCTTTGCTGAACAGAGTCTCGGATTGGGGGCGACTAAATCTAGTCTAGTTTAACCCCCAGAAGACACAAGTTTGCGCGTTAACCGCTAAAAAGAACCCCTTTGTTGTATCTCCTCAGTTTCAAGGCACTCCCCTTGTTGCCTCAGCCAGTATCGGAATCCTCGGCGTTGACATATCTAGTGACGTGCAGTTTCGTGGCCACTTGGAAGAGAAGGCTAAATTGGCCTCTAAAAAGCTTGGCGTGCTCAGCAGAGCGGGACAGTATTTCATGCCGGCACACCGCCTGCGACTTTACAAGGCGCAGGTTCGGCCGCACATGGAATACTACTCCCATCTTTGGGCTGGGGCTCCCCAATACCAGCTCCTTCCATTTGACCGCATTCAGCGCAGAGCGGCTCGAATCGTCGATGACCGAGTGCTTTCCGATCGGCTCGATTCACTGGCACTGCGAAGAGATGTTGCATCTCTTTACATTTTATTTCGCATATACCATGGAGAGTGCTCTGAGGAATTGTTCGGATTAATCCCAGCCGCCAAATTTCGTGAACGCACTACGCGGTAAACGTCCCAATACTATCCACACCATCTGGATGCTTGGCGGTCCACCACAGTACGTTTCAAAAGAAGTTTTCTTCCGCGTACAACCTCTCTGTGGAATAGTTTACCACCGACGATTTTTCCGGACCGATACGACCTGGGGACCTTCAAGAAAAGAGCTTACTCCTTTCTAAAGGGCCGGCAACGCACCTGCAATTCCCCTGGTGTTGCGGTTGATCATGGGCGGCAGTAGTCACTTAACATCAGGTGAGCCGCATGCTCGTTTGCCCCCTCTTCTATAAAAAAAGCCCTCAGAAGAGCGTTGATTACGCTGTGCATTCGACATAAGTGGGGAATCAGCGCGCGACAGCGTGCGCGATGACGCCGTCGCGTTGCAGTCTGGCTGATTTTGCCTTACCCCTGACAAGCTTCTCAGATATGAGAGGACGCTATTAATAAGCACAAGGTATTCAGGTTTATTCAATATCGATTGTTTGCGCAAAGAAATAATTACGTGTATTATAGTATATATATGTTTTTTTTTTAACCACGTTTTTATTAACTCGTATCCGTGTATGTCTGTGTGGGTTAAATTAAATAATTGATTTTAAACTAAATCCTCGATGAGCTAGAGAGTAGAGACTTGAAATTTTCAACATAGCTCATAATTGGATGACAATGTAACGAATACGAAAAACAAGAAGTCTTTTTTTTAAAGGTGGTATATTAATTAAAATTACCTCTGCATCAAGCCGTGGTTCAGATGGTTAGTGCTCGCTGTAAATTTCATAGTACGCGATCAAACCGGGTTCGATCCCCGCCGGCACCAATGAAATTGTTAAGTGCTGATTTACCACCTGCTCGGTGGTGAAAGAAAACATCGTGAGGAAACCTGCATGTCTCAGAAATAAAAAAAATATTTCGAAGACATGTGAAATTGGCCAACATGCATTGGAGTAGCGCGGTGGAAAATTCCTTGCCCTAAAACCCTCTCAGAAATGAGCGGAGGCCTGTGCCTCACAGAAATTAGCCCAGGAGTGGGACGTATATAGGTTGTAGCTTTTTTACCTCTGTATTTATTTACTACTTAACGAACTTACCTATAATCAGTGTGAAAATGCAAAGTCGCTTCATTGCTCGTCGCAACCCATCTAGTCTCTCCTACTGAACCGCAGTATCGTGACGATTTCGTACTGAATCTATCCTTTAACTTTAAAAAAGTCAATTTTTAGTTTTGTGCTAATAAAGTATTTGCTGTTTCATCATCATCATTTACATTACAACCCTCCACAAGTCTACTGCTTAACACAGGCCTCAAAGCACGGTTCTGAGCCAACTGCATCCATCGACTTCCTGGATGCCTTACCAGGTCGTTACTCCATCTAGTGGGGCGCCGCCCTACACTTCGCTCTGAGGCTGCCACTAAGATGTTGTGCTACTATAATTACAACTATAATGTGAGCTATGCATATTGTTTTAAATAGTAATGTTATATCTAGCGATGGGTACCTTGTGAGTCGCCTGGCTGCAACAAATTATAAGCACTGTACATGAATTGGCAACCTTTTCGCTGCTGCCACCCAGTTTGAAATCCGTTTGTTTTCTAAGGTTATTGTTTTTTATGAAGTTTTTTTTTTAAGAAGACTTTGTTATGAAGATTTCTTTTTTGAGTGCTTGTAGTAACGAATATAGTAGTAGTAAGCAGTGTTTGTCATAATCGCCACGCTTGGTGGGTATTTTTTTAATATAGACAATTTTTTTGAGGAGTAACAGTGAAAAACGAGCATACAGTCCACTTGTTGTTAAGTGGAAGCTGTGACCCATAAATATCTACATTCATCCTCAACTAAGAATTAAAATGCAGATACGTTGTCATCTCTGAGCACTAACATGGAATACCTTAGTAAAAAGGGTTCCCGGTTCTCTACATTTACCACACGAAACACAGCAGCATTAAGCTTCTATTTTACTCTGGTATTTTGAGAGAGCGTTGTTTTTCCCCGGTCGAACCATACTATAACTGCAGCATGGCTCTATCACGCATAACGGCTCTAGCACGTTGGTGGTCGCAGTAGCATACCTCTTGCAGCTTCGCGCTGAATTTATAGGTGGTACTTCAACTACTGAAGCGTGGCAGCTCAAAGGCTAAGCATTCACCGTGAATTTCACAGCGAGCGAATAATACTCGCGTGGGAAACTGTATGTCTAGCAAGTAAGAACTCGAATGGCAATTCAATTACGAAAGGACGTGTGAAATCCGCCGATACCCACTGAGGCAGCCTAGCGAACTCATTGATCTTATAACCTTTTCAGAAATTAGAGAAGGATGTTAATATGTTATATCTTTACTAAAATTGTTACAGGATAGAGTTAAAACTGCCTCTTGTCACTCCTAATATTATTAATATTTTAATAGAAATATGGCAAAGGAGCAACAAATGATTAAGAAAGAAGGTTGCAGATGAGTTGTCACCGATGACGTCTGTGACATATGCATATGCAAACTTGTTTGTTTCTCGATAGACATAAATAGAAATCTAGCCATATAAGAATGCCTAGGAGTAAAATTGGTCTTGCCACTTAGTAACATAAAAAAATCTTAAAAGTCGACTCGAAGAAAAAGAAGTACAACACTCAGCACTCAATGAAAAAATTATCGCATTACCTACCTCAACAAAATCATAAAGGCAGTCGTTTTGATACTCCAGGTCGATGGTATGGAAGACAAAGATAAGTCGAGTGTCCGGAGGTCCAGTAACATGAATCCAATAGTCCAAATCGTTGTCGTACAATCCTGGATGATTCGGACTAGATAAATCACCTGAAAATGATATTATTCATTAACTGCTTAGAATTTAACATAAATTGACACATCTTTGTCTTTATCAAAACAAAAGAAGTAATAAGCAGAAATAAAAATTAAATGATAATTTTTTTAGTAATATTATTAATTTAGTATTTTTAGCAGACTTCAAAAAAAAGAGAAGGCTTACAACACGACTGTATGTGTTTTTGTATGTCAGTTACGCGATTTATCAATTGTAAATCGATTTTGATGCTTCTTTTTATCGAATAGTTTAATATTTAACGATCCTTAAGGGTGGCATAATAGGGGCTGAAGTTTTTAATGTAACTATTTAAGCAATATTGTGCAAGAGTGTGATATTCCTTAGTCCACTCAAAAGATTAAAAAGAGAAGGCTTACAAAACGACTGTATGTTTTTTTGTATGTCAGTTACCCAATATATCAATTGTGAACCAAATTTGATGATTCTTATATTAGGTGCTGAAGTTTTTAATTAACTATTTAAACAATATTGAGATTGTGATATTCCTTCATCATTCATCATTATTACAGCCCTTCACAAGTCCACTGCAGAACATAGGCCTCCCCCAAGTAATGCCACAAAGCACGGTCCTGAGCCACCTGCATCCATCGACTTCCTGCATGTCTTACCAGGTCGTCACTCCATCTAGTGGGGGGTCGCCCTACACTACGCCTACCGGTACGAGGCTGCCACTAGAGAACCTTTCTTCCCCATCGGTTATCGGTTCTTCGAGCTATATGGCCGGCCCATTGCCACTTCAGCTTACTAATCCGTTGGGCTACGTCGGTCACTCTGGTTTTACTGCGGATATCCTCATTTCTGAGTCTATCACGCAGAGAAACTCCGAGCATAGCCCTCTCCATAGCTCGCTGAGCGACCTTAAGCGTCCTCATACGGCCAGCAGTGAAGGACCACGTCTCAGATCCGTAAGTCATCACTGGCAACACGCACTGGTTGTACAATCTAGTTTTTAGAGATTGAGGTATACCTGACGAAAAGATATGCCGTAATTTCCCGAACGCTGCCCAGCCGAGTTGAATCCGTCGATTGACCTCTCGGTCGAAGTTGGACTTACCTAGTCGGACTATTTGTCCCAGGTAAACGTATTCGTCAACAACTTCGAGCATAGTGCTCCCAACAACTACCGGCATAGGTGTGACATGGACATTGAACATGATCTTTGTTTTGTCCATGTTCATCTTAAGACCTATCCGTTGGGAGGCACTATTGAGGTCATTGAGCATAGTGCTTAAGTCCTCCAGCGATTCTGCCATAAGGACTATATCGTCGGCAAATCGAAGGTGAGTGATGTACTCGCCATTGATGTCAATACCGTATCCTTTCCAGTCCAGTAGCTTGAAAACGTCTTCCAATGCAGCGGTGAAGAGTTTCGGGGATATAACGTCACCCTGTCTTACACCTCTCTGCAGTTGGATAGGTTTCGAGCTCTGGTTCTGTACTCGGATAGCCATCGTAGCCCTACTGTACAAACACTTCAGCACTTCGATATACCGACAGTCAACTTGGCACCGCTGAAGGGACTGTAGCACCGCCCAAATTTGGACGGAATCAAAGGCTTTCTCATAGTCCACATACGCCAGGCAAAGTGGCAGATTGTACTCTTCAGTCTTCTGTACAATCTGCCGCAGGGTATGTATGTGGTCTATGGTACTGAAGCCTTTTCGGAAACCGGCTTGTTCGGGAGGCTGGAAGTCGTCAAGTCTGCGTGCGAGACGATTCGTAATGACTCTCGAAAACAGCACGTAGACGCGGCTCAGAAGGGAAATCGGTCTGTAGTTCTTTAAGAGAGCGTTGTCGCCTTTCTTAAAGAACAAGACCACCGCACTTCTGCTCCACGCCTCTGGAGTAGTGCCACCATGGAGGACGGAATTGAAGAGCTTCTGAAGGACTTCAAGTACCGGTGTTCCACCCGCTTTCAGAAGCTCCGCTGTAATTCCATCCTCGCCTGGGGCCCTGCCGTTTTTAAGGTGCTGGAGAGCCATTCTAATCTCGCTTAGACTGACGTCCGGGATATCATCGGAATAGTGTCGGATAAGACTTGCTCTTGGATCGTTACTCACACTTGCGTGTGGCTCCAACGATGATGTGTACAGCTGCCCATAGAACCTCTCAATCTCACTCAAAATCTCAGGTGTCCCGGAAACGATGTTGCCACACTCAGTCTTCAGCCTTGACAGTTGGCTCTTTCTGGCAGACAGATCTCTGGCAAAGACTTTGGAGCCCTGGTTCCGCTCGATCGCTTCTTTAATACGAGAAGTATTAAAGTTGCGTAAGTCTCGCCGTATGCATTTGGAGATCTGTCTGTTCAGTTGCCTGTATGCTGTCAAATCTGTTGACGATTGCAGCCTCATCTCCCGTCTAACAGCCATGAGATTAAGAGTGTGATCGGAGAGTTTTTGTGTTCTTCTGCGGCGGGTCTTGCAGAACTTAGCTCCGACCGCATGGACAGTTTCCACGAGCTTGTCGTTCATATCGTCCACTGCATTGCAATCTTCTAGGCACTGGAAGCGGTTACGTAACTCGAGCTGAAAGGTTTCGGGATTCTGGATTAGAGCACGAGGGGGGACGGAGCGTTGACTTCATTAGACGAGACCTCTCCAACTTAACGTTTAGGTTCAGTGTGCCTCTAACCATTCGGTGATCGCTGCCAGTTTTCACCCTTGCGATCACTGAGACATCACTGAACAGTTGGCGTCTGGTCGTCATAATGAAGTCAATCTCATTTTTTGTCGAACCGTCGGGGCTCGACCAGGTCCACTTCCTGTGGGGCCGCTTCTGGAAGAAAGAGTTCATCGTAAAGAGTCCCTCTTTCTCCATAAAGTCGGCCAGCTGCTGGCCCCTTCGGTTCCGTTGCCCTACTCCAAATTTCCCTACCTTCAGCTCACCGCTTTCTCTTGTGCCCAGTTTTGCGTTGAAGTCTCCCATCAACACCGTGTAGTAGGTTTTGGAGGAATGTATGGCTCTGGAAATATCCTCATACATTTCCTCCACCTCCTCATCGGGATGTGCCGAGGTTGGTGCGTAAACCTGAATGACCTTCAGCGAATACCGTTTGGTGATTCTGAGTATCAGGTACGCGACCCTCGTCGACACACTCCCAATCTTTACAACGTTGTTGACGAGAGATTTGTGGACGATAAATCCGACACCTCCTTGGGACAGATGGTCGCCCTCCCGGTGATAGAACAAGTTGCCGGACTCGAGGATTGCCGTGTCCTCCCCCTCTCTTCGGACCTCGGATAATCCAATAATATGCCAGCGCAACTTGTCTACCTCTTCTTCCAGCTCCAGTATCTTCTCGTCAGTCCTCAGGGTGCGTGCGTTATATGTTGCCAGGTCGAGTCGTCGTAGGTGGCAACCGAACCTCCACCGGAGATTCTTAGCACCCCCTGCCCCTCCGTTACCATGGTCGCCACCGTAGCCAGGAATAGCGGGGCCGCCGGGGACTGGGGGCCGTCTGTTTGTGTATTTATTCATTGGGGGGTATTTGCCATAGTTGCCACGCTTGGCGAGCGGGTTGGCAACCGCAGTTTTTTATTACGTCACAGTTGTCATCAGGAAGACGCTGCTGCCCATCTCCTGCCTGTCTCCCTCTGTCGCCTCTTACGACACCCACGGGAAGATATGGGGTAGTGGATATTCTTAACCGCCACTACACGGCACGATATTCCTTAGTCTACTCAAAAGGTTAAAAAAATTAACATTCGACAAAAACTAAAAGCCGACTTCAAAGAAATAAAAATAACAAAATAATTTCACATTCTGTAGTCGGGACTCAGATATATAAAAGGTAAAAGTATTTTTTTTTTGCTTCTAAAGTAACCCCGGAATTTCTTCTGTACTTAGCTGTTAAATTTATATTCTTCTACTGTCCTTATATTCTTATCTGTCTTAGTTATATAAAATTGTTGATGTTTTAAAAGGAAATATTTTAAAAGGTAGATAATAAATCTATTGTACAATGAAATCTGCCACGGTTAGGACCTCTCTCTCACTTGTTAAGAACATATTACATGTACAATGTTCATACGTGGCCACGTGACTCACGTCATAGAGTAACTGTTACACTCTCGCTGGATACGCGCGAACAGAAACTTTGCCGATAGCATCATGATAATGCAAGCATTGCTAGTGATACTGCAGACAAGTATATGGGACGGCAGAAATGGGAGGAAGTGATCTTCGGCAAACCATCTGTGCGAGGATTCTGTTTTAGTATTTTCTGATGTTTTAATTCATGTGTTTTGGCTATCTAAAAGGGCCTTAAATTATATGCGCCCCAGAGCTCCTGCTTGGTCTAAAACAATACAAGTTACATGCATAAATAGGAATTGTGTGCATATTACCTGAATTCCCTTCAATTGTTTTATTCCTTATGATATGCTCGGCGTTTAGGCGCCGCTTGCACACGTAGCCACCGGTGACACTGCATTTTTGTAGCGTCCAGTACAATCCGCTGGGCTGGGAAGGCACTGGTGATGTTTTCCACTGTCGAAGTATGTATGTATGTAATTTTTTTACAGGTGATATATTCGTTTTATTTAAAAGATTACTATAAACATCAACTTTAATTATTTTTGTTTTAAACCGTTGATATATAAAAAACCGCAGTTGCGAACCCGTTTGCCAAGCGTGGCAACTATGGCAAATAACCTCTGCTGATTTTTAAACCACAGGACGATATAGGTTAGTGGATTACGTCGCCACTACACGGTCAATTTAATGTGCACTTAACTAATTGTGTAACTCGCATCGTTATTTATTTAATAGATGGAATTATTTTTATCAAATAATTTTCATTAATTATATGTATTTGTGTCAAGTTTATAAATAGGGGTGAATTAAATTAGAAATGGCAAAATTGTTATTGAAAATATCTCATAAATACTACTAAATCCTCGTTCGACAAAACAAAAATTAGGCAAAAATTTAATAAAAATTGTCTAAAAAATTTAATAAAAATTATCTACTTTTATGTTTAAGAAAAGATACAACTAATTTTCGTTCGAAGAATAGCTTTTCGTAACAATGAACTAGGGATCGGATTATAATATAATGTCCGTCTTAACCAGTTTCTTTACCTTATCTGAGAACCGTGGCTTAGGCAATCTAGAAAATTAGATTCAATAAGAATCTGCGTTGCCTTAATACATTGTAGATTAGTCTGGGTAATTATGTGGCTATATTTGCCAATAGATTATCTAGATATAGATAGATCTTAATTCTATCGTTTTCATTATGCTTAATCCTTCAGCCATTATGAATTTGTAATTTCCATTTCTCTGAGAAAACTTAGCACAAGATTTCAATATCTCTCCTTAAGGGCCTATTATGAAATTTTGTTTCCTCGTACAAGATTTGCGAATACTTGTTAGATACAATTTCAAAGTAAGTTAATTATTTTTTTTGTATACTTTTTACGCACATCAACAAATCGCTAGTTGTTTGGCTTTAAAATATTTTAGTATATTTGAACATATTATTATGTAACTTAAGATTTTAATTATGGCTTAGCGATGTTTACTTGTAAGTAATTGTGCAATTAGTATAAGACTATATTATACTTTTAGATTTAATATGTTAAATTGTATCAATTGTAGGTAGACCCTTTTAAATAAATTAAAAATATCATAATTAAAGAAATAAGTATTAACTACATATAAAATATTGAAATAATACTAGTTTTTACGGAATTTATCGCGTATATTTAACTTTTGAAATACCCGAGTCCTTCCCGTGACCATGGGTGCTGTAAAGCTCTCGAAACGTCGGGTATTTTAAAAGTTAAATATACGCGATAAATTCCGTAAAAACTAGTATTATTTCAATGGGTTGTGCGTTTGGCAAGAAAAAAGCGCTAGCAAGCGCTTACAAGCGCTAAAATAGCTTTCGGCCAGGACACGATTGCTACTTCAGTAGCGCTGACACAATCCGCCATTTTGCTTATTTAATTTGTTTGTTTTGAAGTAGAGTTTATAAGTTGTTTTGTGCAATATTAGTTTTAAGTAATATAATGACATGAATAAACATATACATGTTGTTAAAAATTCATGACTGGTAAGTTTTTAATATGAATACTTTACAAACATATATTTAAATTAGGTTAATTCCCCGGTTAAAACTAACATCGTGTCCTAGAGGAAAATAGGTACTTACGATTTGACAGCGCTTACCGCTTACGATCGCCATTTTGCTTACAAGCGCTTGCTAGCGCTTTTTTCTGCCAAACGCACCCATTACAAAAATCATTATACACATACAATAATTTTACCACCTCGCATTTATTATTTTACATTGGTTCATAGCTTTGAGTTAAAGTAACAATAAAATCGATTTTGCACTGAAACTTTAAAAGGTAGAAAGATAAGGTGTAAGGACAATTTTCTTGTAAAATTGCAAACTAAAAAAGTTTTTTCGAAACATTTTTAACATGAAATTATATAATCAACTTTATTTTACCACGTCTTTGTTAGGTAACTTTCTTGTTTGACTGTCACTCAGGGTGGAGTTTAGTAATTCATTTTAAATATATCTCAAATTTGTATGACAAAATATATACGATACAAATGTGGCCAAAATGAAAGGAAACTATTGCGAATTTATTGCTCCAAATTTTCTATTTTTCGAGCGCTGTACACCATTGAAAGGACTATGGTCAGCCGTGAAATGCTTGTGTAATAAGTTTTATTTACAGGAATAAGTGATACTGTGTTTAAAAATATTTATTTTAAGAAACCTTCATCAAAATTTATATTCAAACAGAAAAGAAATAAACGTTGTTACGCTGTAAACAGGCTTCAAACAACGTTAACTTGATCGATGTTTAATTGACACTTGTAAAGTATCTTACTGCCACCCTTCAGACACTGCTGCTGATAAGAATTTGCTGTGTTTGTGTGCTGATAAAATATTGTCGAAGTCTTAGTATCCAATCACTTAAACAAACTTTATGTTGATAAATGTTATGTTTTCGTATTCAACAACGTTTTTGATTACTTCTCGAAGTTTCATAAAAGGTTTATTTGCTTAAAATCAGATTGGGCGCTTCATTGCATATGCATATTATGCCTTAGAATAATAACGCTAAAGCTAACAAACTCTGCGAGTAGCACAGTTGCAACCGTACAATAGTTTGAAATGAAAAAAGAAGAAAAAATCAATTCGGTGTAAGAGGGATATACAGGTTCGATCAGGGGTAGCAAACTAAAAAGAAGTTGCCCAGTTATATTTCTATATTTATTTAATCATACAAACGGTAATAATATATCTCCCTAACTAGTTTTCCCTAGTTAGTCACTCTTTAAAAATAACAACTTTTTTAAAAGGCACTTTGCATTTTAAACGTTTGCGGTCGTATACACGGTTAACAAATGTTATTCTTGGTATATTATAAAGTTTTGATACAAAGTATGCAGATATTGTTCCATTTAATACCGCATTGACAGCCTCACTTAATTTATCATTACCATATCTGCTTCTATCAGATTATTTTCGCGCTATATTTTATGATATATATATATATATATATATATATATATATATATATATATATATATATATATATATTAAAAAGAAAGGGACGTATATAAAACGCATGAAACTTTATTTATCTAAAATAATTAAAAAAAGAAAACATTTGATTTTTTTATTTGTTTGTTATGATGTAGATAACTCAAAAACTAAAATTCGATTTCAAAAATAAATTTAACAAAAAAATAGGTAAGCGTGGACGAAGTTGTGGAAAATTTCTAGTTTAGTTATAATTTAAAAGTGTAGTAGGTACAAAACAGTCAGTCAATTGTGTGTGTTACCCCTGACATAGTGTAAAAGAAACATATGTTCGTCTTTCACCGTGAATAGTGAGCCTCTTACCCCAGCTATTGCTTTTGGAGGTTTAGATTTTCAAGCGAAAGAAACTCATATTATAAGTTGTTTTTAGACTAAAATGGTTAATAAAAAGAAATAATTACAGTTTTCTCCTTATATCATTACATTCAAAATATTTCCAGCTTTCTTTTTTCACCAAACTATTGGTTCGCAAAAAAACGCGCTAACTTTGTACTAGTCGAATTCACAACTGTCAAATGTGTCTTCATTTTTTGTGACTTCTGAGTCACGTAGCGATATCTATTGAAAACCGTTCAAATATATATATATATATATATATATATATATAAAAAAATATATATATATATATACATATATATGTATATATATCGTTAATTAATTAATATATATTAATTAACGAACTTGTTGAGTAGCACAGCAGCAACGAACTCTTAGTTTAGTAGCTGGACGTAGGCATTTGCAAGAATGCATCACTTGGCAAGCGTTACTTGAAAGGTATCCAAATTTAAATCTTTTAAACTGGTGGCCATCTAGTGTGGTCAGAATGAGGGAATCTTATATAATTATATACATTCTAGTTGGAGCTTTCTTGGAAAGACCGATATCTAGCAATTGATTAACAAAGGAGATTGTTAATAATTAGAATGATATTGTTTACTGATTTCGACACAGGCAATTTTTAAAATCAATCTATGACAAGAGTTATATAAAATAATTCTTATTTTTCATTGTCGGCTTGTAAAAGCGCGCAAAATACGAGTAGCGAGAAATAATAATGTTTGTATCTGGTAAACGAGACGACTATGTAATGAAAAGAAATAAAAACAAAAAATAAATAAAAAATAACAAGTGAATGTTTTTTATTATTTTTTTAACACTTTTATCGTGTTCTTTATTATTTTTCTTGCATTGTCATCCGAATTTAAGAGAATTTCAAGTTTCCAGCTCATGGGGAAGTTAGCTTAAAAAAAACTAAATTCCACCCGGAACGACAGACAAAAAGAAAATACTTAATAAAGACGTGGTAAAATTAAATTGTTTTTTTATAGAATAAGGGTGAAAAACGAGCACACAGTCCAACTGATGGTAAGTGGATGCTGTGGTCCATAGACATCTACATTTATCCTCGATTAAGAATCTACATAAAAACGGATGCGTTGTCACCCGTGAGGACTAAAATGGAATGTCTAGTTTCCAGTAAAACGAATCTTCGGTTCTCTACACTCACCATATAAAACACAGCAGCATTAAGCTGCTATTTTACGCTGGTATTCTGTGAGAGCGTGGTCCTTCCCCGGTCGAGCCGACGCATTCGTGCACAACCATAATATAGCTGTAGCGTGGCTCTACCACGTAAAAAGTTTAGTTTAGTTACTTAGGCTTATTACTAGGAACTACAAACGTAATTTATATAAATTCTAACTTAAATAAAACGGATATCTATTTATAAAGGATACATATTTATATTTTATTTTAATTCAAATTAGCAGAGAAGGTTCAGAATAAGTAATATATGGAAATCATAAGGAAAAATTAATTTAAAAAAACTTAAACATTCTGTCCTTTCCACGTACAAGTTTCGCAAATACTTGTTAGACACAATTTCAAATTTAGTAAATTTTTTGTATATTTATTCATATCTTGCTATAACAATAACTAGCTATTTAGATATACAAAATATAATATATTACTTATATATTTTGTATATAATGAAAATAAATGAAGATTCTTATATATTTTGTATTTTGTTTGTAACTACCTATTTATATATACCAAATATATTACTTATATATTTTGTATATATAAATAGCTAGATGTTTGGCTTTAAAATATTTTTTTTAAATAATATGAAGCTTAACATTTTAATTATGGCTTATCGGTGTTTACCTGTAAGTGATTTTGCAATTAGTATAAGATTCTCTCAGAACCACGCTCTTATGGTATTCTGACCAGCGTAAAATAGCAGCGTCAAGCTGCTGTTTCGTATGGTGAGTGTAAAATACCGCAGACCCTTTTTACTGGAATCGAGACATTCCATCTTAGTTCTCAAGGATGACAACGCATATGCATTTTGATTCATATGCGTGTCTGGCACAGCATCAACTCATCATCAGGTAGACTGTGTGCTCGTTTGTCACCCAATGCTATACAAAAAAAAGTTTTATTGTGAGTTTAACTTTACCTGGACTCGCCTTTGTTTAATAGCAATGTGGTCAGTTGAAAAGAAATGATGTAAGGATGTCAAATTATTTAATTTTACTTAGTCTAGTACTAATGCCTAAATATTATGTAAGTTTTTAATACGAGGGCGACACTGAAAGTTTTTAGAACTGGCCACTTGTAAACGATATAATATAAAAAAGTTCAAATTTTGAACTCTCTTTGCCAATATTATTGTGTACGTATTTTATCATTTTATTCATGAAATAATTAGTTTACGATTTTGCGGCAAATTGAAAATTGTCTGTGTCAAGTCAGCATGAACTTAACGCGAGAAAATTTTCATACAATGATTTTTTATGACTTTCGATGTCTTTTACGTTAAAAAGAAACTTATGATAGACTTCGATTGGCCTTACACGAAAAGCTCCATCTCGTGCCACTGTTTACAACTGATATAATGAGTTTAAACTTGGTCGCACTAATTTCATCGATTATCTACGTGAGGGACGGCCTTCTACGGCGACGACTGAAGATAACATCAGTGTTGTGCCGCGTGTGATAGAGACTGACAAAAGAGTGACTTATCAGCAGATTCGGACAAGTTTAGGCATCAGTATGAGTCAAGTGCATAAAATCCTCCATGAACAGGTTTAGTGGCCAGGAAGCTTTGCGCCCGGTGGATACTTCATAATTTGACAGAGATCCGTCGTGTTGATTGATGTCGTGAAATGGTTCAAAGATTTAACGGAGATGACTAAAATGCTGTGTTCGACATACTTACGGGTGATGAAAGCTGGATTTATTGTTATGATCCTGAAACCAAGAGACAATCTGCTGTCTGGGTGTTTCCTTCCAAGGAGTTGCCAACTAAAGTGAAGAGAGGTCGAAGCGTGGGAAAAAAGAAGGTGGCCTCGTTCTTCGGAAGGACAGATCATTACGCAACAATTGTTTTAGAGGATTGAAAAACAGTTACTGCAGAGTGGTACACTATTAATTGTTTGCCACTTGTTTTGGAAAATGTTGGGGAGAAACGACCTCGCAGTAGGATCTCCCTTCAGCACGACAACGCCTCGTCGCACACTGCCAAGCAAACAATCGACTACATGGCGACGTCAGACGTGTAATTACTGGGTCACCCGCCCTATAGCCCTGACCTCGCACCTAACGACTATTATTTATTTCGGAAAATAAAAGAACAACTTCGAGGAAAACGTTTTATGGACGCTGAGGAAGCAGTGGCTTTCAAAATACCGTTAAAGAGATCCCTAAGGATGAGTGGGCAATGTGCTTTTCTCAGTGGTTTCATCGGATGCAGCAATGTATTTATGTAAATGTACACTATTTTGAAAAGATATAATAAAATTAATAACTTTCTGGTTTCTTTACTTTTTGATTTTCTAAGAACTTTTAGTGTCCCTCTAGTAATCTTTTACCAAAATCTGTTCACAAAAATAAATTGGCGTGCATTACCTATTTTGTGGTCCAGTGAAAATGCATACATTTGTGGGATGGAGCTGTTCTTTAAACTATTATTCTTATTATAAACTTCTTCTAAACTCTATAAAAAGTCGTTAAGATTACCTGAACACCCATACACGCCTCTTCTAATTCTTCAGTGTCATTATAAGGCGGCCAAGCTTGATAGTCGAAAGCGGTGCCGTCTACCCAGCTGATGTTCTCGCTGATTCTCTCTATCCTCACGCCGAGCCAGTAAATCGAGCCGGCGCTGTAATCGCTGCTCTGTCTAATGCTGGTCACTATAAATCGTTCCTCTTCTGCTGAGTGCACAGATGACAGGTGCATGTTGAGACCCTCGCACACCTGGAATTAAATGAGTGACAAAAGTAAGGTACACCGCCGAGATTGTGGTTAATCTGTACTCAAAATTGCAATTAACGATATCAATGGTGCCGGCAAGGTTTGAATCCGGGTCGCTTGCGTACTGAAAAATCCCGCTAAGAACAGAAATGTGAAAAGGGGGCAAAGTATGGTACAAAAGAAATTCAGGGTTTGTTGGATTCGCTGATAAAGGAGTTGACATCTGAACGAGCGCCAAGCTCTTTAGCAGTTGCTTAAAGCATAGGATTGATAGGAACGGAAAACGTTCTTGAAACTGCTATGGAGACCCCGAAAGTCGTTAAAAACATAGACAATGAAAAGGGATAGACATAAAAAGAACATTACCATGTATATGTTTTTATTTATTTTGTTACAAAATATATAAATAATATTAAAGCATGAACTATTGAATATAATAAATTTTATTTTAACCTTTGAGTACTAAACCAAAGGAGGCGGCATCGCAAGGCACACCCCTCTGTCAAAGGTACGAGAGTCCGACTCATACCCATTATATAAAACTAGTTGCTCGGCGTCGTGCGCCATTCTGCAAGTTGTAGTGCCAGTCAATCGAGCTCCGACAAAAATTCGAATTGCAGTGTATTTTCATACAAAAAACACTCAAAATGTCAAATCTACAAAAAGGACAACGTGACTTTTCATCTGTGAATATTTTAGACATAAACACATTTAAAACTCGTATTTTCTGAATATTTTTGTAAGATATCAAGTGTTGCCATCGTAGGTTCATGAAGAGAAAAATAAGTTTTTTTTTAAATAAATATAATTTACTACACAAAATCTATTTCCTGTTAACTAAGTCAATTTGTCATCAATAATAATCATTATATTAAGATGTGTACTGGATTTTGTCAAATGATTTAAATATTTAGCTAAACCTCAACACGATTCTGAATATATTATAAATTAATATAATTGATAACTAGTGTTTATTAAAATATTATACAAAATAAAGGCCAAATGAGTCAAATCGACACTTGCCACCTCGTAGCAAAAGTATGCAATTTTTATAAAATAAACTGTTATCACTGCAATGTTAACTATTCGGGTTAGTCCGCTGAACGTGTTTTTATTTTTTGTTTATACTTTATAATAAAGTATTACAAAAAGCAGTGAAATTTTCTATTATTGGTTTGATTTCACATGTTTCGAAGAGGTCCTCTTAGGCAGCAAACTTAGATTGTAGCTTGTAGAAATCATGAATCTTGGATTGGAATGCCTGAACGAACTAGCACCATTTGTTCAATAAAAGAAGGTTAGCCTATACTGCTATATACCACTTTGAAATTGCGGGAGGTAAAGTCTAGCTGTAATTATATCAATAGATTAAATATTTTTATTATTACCCTTGACACTAATATTATTCTTCTTAAAAATTTCTTAGAATTTTGATAAGTTTACATTAATAACTTCTTATATTTACGTGAACACTACCCATTAAAGAAACTAATCTTACGGATTTTATCGCGTTTAATTTTGACTTTTTGATTCCCGACATTTCGGGTGCTTTACAACACTACTTTTAATGTCGCGCCTTTGACAAAGTGCGGCACGTGCTGAGGCAGTGCGGCACAAAAACGACTCTATCTAAGGTCTATGCGAACAGACTATACACCAAGGAAAATTAAACTAAAAAAAACCGCTTTGAAATGAAAAGCAATAGCATAAAAGGCTTCAACTGCAGTAACGGTATTTAAAGAAAAAGGTTACAAGTTTGCAAGAAATACTAGATTTGTTGACAGAAATATCTTTGATAAATAAAGAAAACAAACAGGTCCTAAAAAAGATAGGAACTGAAGAAAGCAAACTTTTAAAGAGACAATTCCTTAAAAGTAAGACTGGAAAACTGCTCAGAACTAAATATTCCCCAGAGTTAAGATTGTTCGCCCTAACACCTAATTATTAACTGAAAGCCTATCGCTATGTACGTAAAACTTTTGGAACATGTTTGCCTGCACCACTGGTATTGTATAAGTGGTACAGTACAATCAATGGCTGACCAGGGTTTAAGCAAGAAGCGCTGATGACATTAAAATTGAGAGCGGAGAGAAACCCTGATAAAAAAAAAATTGTACTCGGTCATGGATTAAATGAAAATTAAGTATTTGACGGAATACTATGTTAGCAGCCAAAGGCATTATAGCTATGTCAACTACGGGTTTGATATCATTAGTATTTTTTTTTGGTCGATATAAATACGACGTGCCGTGTAGTGGCGGTGCCGTGTAGTGGCGGTTAAGAATATCCACTACCCCATATCTTCCCGTGGGTGTCGTAAAAGGCGACAGAGGGAAACAGGCAGGAGATGGGCAGCAGCATCTTCCTGATAACAGCAACTGTACGATAAAAAAAAACTGCCGTTGCCAACCCGCTCGCCAAGCGTGGCAACTATGGCAATATACCCCCCATGAACAATTACACAAATAGACGGCCCCCAGTCCCCGGCGGCTCCGCTATTCCTGGCTACGGTGGCGACCATGGTAACGGCGGGGCAGGGGGTGCTAAGAATCTCCGGTGGAGGTTCGGTTGCCACCTACGACGACTCGACCTGGCAACATTTAACGCACGCACACTGAGGACTGACGAGAAGATCCTGGAGCTGGAAGAAGAGATAGACAAGTTGCGCTGGAGTATTATGGGATTATCCGAGGTCCGAAGAGATGGGGAGGACACGGTGATTCTCGAATCCGGCAACTTGTTCTATCACCGGGAGGGCGACCATCTGTCCCAAGGAGGTGTCGGATTTATCGTCTACAAGTCTCTCGTCAACAACGTTGTAAAGATTGGGAGTGTGTCGACGAGGGTCGCGTACCTGATACTCAGAATCACCAAACGGTATTCGCTGAAGGTCATACAGGTTTACGCACCAACCTCGGCACATTCCGATGAGGAGGTGGAGGAAATGTATGAGGATATTTCCAAAGCCATGCATTCCTCCAAAACCCACTACACGGTGTTGATGGGAGACTTCAACGCAAAACTAGGCACAAGAGAAAACGGTGAGCTGAAGTTAGGGAAATTTGGAATAGGGCAACGGAACCGAAGGGGCCAGCAGCTGGCCGACTTTATGGAGAAAGAGGGACTCTTTATGATGAACTCTTTCTTCCAGAAGCGGCCCCACAGGAAGTGGACCTGGTCGAGCCCCGACGGTTCGACAAAAAATGAGATTGACTTCATTATGACGACCAGACGCCAACTGTTCAGTGATGTCTCAGTGATCGCAAGGGTGAAAACTGGCAGCGATCACCGAATGGTTAGAGGCACACTGAACCTAAACGTTAAGTTGGAGAGGTCTCGTCTAATGAAGTCAACGCTCCGTCCCCCCTCGTGCTCTAATCCAGAATCCCGAAAACTTTCAGCTCGAGTTACACAACCGCTTTCAGTGCCTACAAGATTGCAATGCAGTGGACGATATGAATGACAAGCTCGTGGAAACTGTCCATGCGGTCGGAGCTAAGTTCTGCAAGACCCGCCGCAGAAGAACACAAAAAACTCTCCGATCACACTCTTAATCTCATGGCTGTTAGACGGGAGATGAGGCTGCAATCGTCAACAGATTTGACAGCATACAGGCAACTGAACAGACAGATCTCCAAATGCATGCGGCGATACTTACGCAACTTTAATACTTCTCGTATTAAAGAAGCGATCGAGCGGAACCAGGGCTCCAAAGTCTTTGCCAGAGATCGGTCTGACAGAAAGAGCCAACTGTCAAAGCTGAAGACTGAGTGTGGCAACATCGTTTCCGGGACACCTGAGATTCTAAGTGAGATTGAGAGGTTCTATGGGCAGCTGTACACATCATCGTTGGAGCCACACTCAAGTGTGAGTAACGATCCAAGAGCAAGTCTTATCCGACACTATTCCGATGATATCCCGGACGTCAGTCTGAGCGAGATTAGAATGGCTCTCCAACACCTTAAAAACGGCAAGGCCCCGGGCGAGGATGGAATTACAGCGGAGCTTCTGAAAGCGGGTGGAACACCGGTACTTGCTACCGGTACGTGCTGTTTTCGAGAGTCATTACGAATCGTCTCGCAAGCAGACTCGACGACTTCCAGCCTCCCGAACAAGCCGGTTTCCGAAAAGGCTTCAGTACCATAGACCACATACATACCCTGCGGCAGATTGTACAGAAGACTGAAGAGTACAATTTGCCACTTTGCCTGGCGTATGTGGACTATGAGAAAGCCTTTGATTCCGTCGAAATTTGGGCGGTGCTGCAGTCCCTTCAGCGGTGCCAAGTTGACTGTCGGTATATCGAAGTGCTGAAGTGTTTGTACAGTAGGGCTACGATGGCTATCCGAGTACAGATCCAGAGCTCGGAACCTATCCAACTGCAGAGAGGTGTAAGACAGGGTGACGTTATATCCCCGAAACTCTTCACCGCTGCGTTGGAAGACGTTTTCAAGCTACTGGACTGGAAAGGATACGGTATTAACATCAATGGCGAGTACATCACTCACCTTCGATTTGCCGACGATATAGTCCTTATGGCAGAATCGCTGGAGGACCTTAGCACTATGCTCAATGACCTCAATGGTGTCTCCCAACGGATAGGTCTTAAGATGAACATGGACAAAACAAAGATTATGTTCAATGTCCATGTCACACCTATGCCGGTAGTTGTGGGGAGCACTATGCTCGTAGTTGTTGACGAGTACGTTTACCTGGGACAAATAGTCCGACTAGGTAAGTCCAACTTTCGGACGGACGGATTCAACTCGGCTGGGCAGCATTCGGGAAATTACGACACATCTTCTCGTCAGGTATACCTCAATCTCTGAAAACTAAAGTGTACAACCAGTGCGTGTTGCCAGTGATGACTTACGGATCAGAGACGTGGTCCTTCACTGCTGGCCGTATGAGGACGCTCAAGGTCGCTCAGCGAGCTATGGAGAGGGCTATGCTCGGAGTTTCTCTGCGTGATAGACTCAGAAATGAGGATATCCGCAGTAGAACCAGAGTGACCGACATAGCCCAACGGATTAGTAAGCTGAAGTGGCAATGGGCCGGCCATATAGCTCGAAGAACCGATAACCGATGGGGAAGAAAGGTTCTCGAGTGGCAGCCTCGTACCGGTAGGCGTAGTGTAGGGCGACCCCCCACTAGATGGAGTGACGACCTGGTAAGATATGCAGGAAGTCGATGGATGCAGGTGGCTCAGGACCGTGCTTTGTGGCATTACTTGGGGGAGGCCTATGTTCAGCACTGGACTTGTGAAGGGCTGTAATGATGATGATGATGAAATACGACGTGGACGACGTGGATGGGTACTTACCCATAGCCAAATTTTAATTAAATTTAAATTAAAATCTGAGATTGATCAGTCTTTCAAAAATTGGCCATAATTCTTTTAAATAATAAAATCATAAATTTATATTACACTAAAATACTTTTCATTTGTGACCGTATGAGGAAACTCAGCAAGTTACGGAGACGGCTGTGCTCTTGGTTTACTTTATGATAAACGTAGAAATAAGGATACCTGCTGTGGAACCAGAGTGACCGACATAGCCCAACGGATTAGTAAGCTGAAGTGGAAATGGGCCAGCCATATAGCTTGAAGAACCGACAATCGATGGGAAACAATGGTTCTCGAGTAGCAGCCTCGTACCAGTGGGCGAAGTATGTGGCGACCTCCGAAGATTTTATCTAATTTTATATGGCCGATGTTTCGAGGGCGACGTTGTGCGGCTAGCACATGGTCACAGGTGAGATTGGTATTACAAATAGAAATATTTAAAAAATATATAGATTCTATTAAAACACAGTGTTTTAGGAAAAATTCGTATAAAGCTTGTAATGGGCTTTTTACATTTTTTTATAAAAAAAATAACCGCAATTTACAATTATGTAATAGGTGTGCAAATACGTAATATGTAGCGATCACCTTGTCCACAATTTTTATCATTTTTTAATACATTATATTTTTTTATTATAAAACTGAAGTACTTTACCCTTTAGATGGGTAACAGCGCAGTGCAAGTACTGCCATTTGGTTGCCACCAAATGGCAGTACTTGCACTGCGATTAGATTAGAAGATGGTACCCAGAGGTAATTCAAAAGTTATTATAATCTTATGGAATAGTAAATCATTCATGTATTTCATAACGTTATTAGAATTTATTTTCACAATTTTTATTTTATAAATGTTTTGTGATTGGTTAGGATTTTGTTATAAAACATTGCCTCATGAATGTGTTTGGTGTAGGTATAGTTAATCTGGCTTAAATTTAGCCTTTAATTATTAATTTTATTTGGTTCGATGTACCTCAATGCGAATCACAAAATTTTTTTTGCGTAAAATTTTCTGGTATATGTACCTACAAAAATAAAATTAATTACACTTTGACAGTATTCACGTAATTAATATTTACGTAAGAATTCATTGTATAAATTTAGCATTATCACTTAGTTTGCTAGTTCTCAAAAAGGAAACTTATACCGATTACATATTTTGAAAGCGTTTAGATTTCTTTGAATTGATTCAAGGATTCTTATACTTAGGTCTTATCTTGAACGCGAGTCATCGTACAATGGCAGATTAGCTTTGTTAAAGCGGCATAAATAAGCTCAAGGGTAAGGCCAGCGCCACACTTGACGGAAATTCCGACGCCGAACTTCCGCGGGAGTAAATCCGTTACCATAAGTTGCAGCCACACTGAAGTGGCAGATTATCAGTTGACTGCCAAGTGCCAACGCTTATACGGTGTGTTCGACTAGAAATTGGGCTATTTCATACTTTGTTAGACATAATCCAGATAAAGCATTCGAATATTATCGAAAGTCCGTACAATCATTTGATGTATTGTTGAATTTAACGAAGGGCTATATTACCAAGCAAAATACAAAACTTAGAACGGCTATATCTCCTGAAAAAAGGCTGACCGTTACATTAAAGTAAGATTAATATTAATAGTGTAAATGAGACAAATTATTTCACTTTAGGTTTTCTTTTTGTTTGAGAGGTCCCTGGAACTTCATCAGTTTGAGTTGGACACAAATTCTCAATTACAGTTAGGTGTGAGTTTGCATTACTTGATAATTCAATACAAGACTTTTCGGAAGAAACACCTCTGGTCACCCTCACTGATTGTGATCTGTAGTTGATCCTTTTTTTAAGTAGCTGCAGCTAAATTATAGTTATAGGCGTGGCCTTGCCACGGTCGAGCCAACCCTGGATGGGCTGTGGAAGAGCCACGTCCCTGTGTTTCGTATAGTGAGTGTACGGAACCGGAGACCCTTTTTAATTAATTCGGAGCATTTCAGCTTAGTCCTCAAGGGTAACAGCGCATCTGCAATTTTATCCTTAATTGAGGGTTCATTTATATGTATATGCCACAGCATCCTCATATCATCAGGTGGACTGTTTACTAGTTTGTCACCTACATTCTATTAAAAAAAAAACTACATTCGCTCACACTCATAGTGCGATGGAATGGTAATCTGACAAGACCGGAAAGAGATCAGACGCAGGACTAACAGCTTTACGTTCTTTCCGAGGCATGGAGTTAAAAGCCTCGCCAATTTTCCAACGCCGGCTTGCTACTGAGAATTTTTTGACAGAAAAGCCAAACAAATGATATATGATCCGACCTGGGATTTCGACCCGGGACCTCATGATCAGTAATTGTATTGACGACCACTAGACCAACGAGGCAGTTGCCATATTATTATAATATAAAAAAGTATTACTTTTTTATCCCTTCAATATAAAAAAGTTTGGTCGGGTTTATAAAAACCTATGAATGAAAGCGATGCCGTAGGCAAGAGATAATACCGGCGTAATTTACGTAATCAATACCGTGTTCTAAAGACTCGGAACAAACTTTTTGGTGGGGAAACTTCGTCGTCACGAAATCACGAAGTTCGAATTTTGTAGCAATATCAATGGTTACGGGGACCGAGTTGTCATTGATATACTTTTTTAAAGTTTTGCCTATTATTGCCAGTGTTTTTCATGATATTGTAAATTCTTTTTAAACTTTTTTTAGAAAATTAATAAATAAATATACTTTTGTGTATACTTGTTATTCAGAAAAAGAAAGACACGGTTACAAAGGGTTTAGAAGTTAAGAAATAAGTAAGAAAAAAAAAAAAAATATTAAGCTGAGGAAGTAGATAACATTTAAGTAAATAAATATTTATAAAGAAAACGAAATAATTTTGATTTATGCAGTATACTTACTTGCTTGGCTGTGCTCCAAGATGCTCTTGGATATCCAGAAAAGAGGTAGCAGTGCCCGTTGAATAGCACCTGCTTGGCATCCATACACGTCTGGGCTGTCGACAAAAGTTCATATTAGAAGAGGAAAGGCGTCACTATGTTGTCCTAAATAATTAAAAAAAAACATTATCCTACACTAGGATAATCTCTATCGTGGAGGCAGCTTACATACATAAATTACACAAGGATAAACACCCAGACCGGGAACAATTACTTGTAGGCAAAACAAATGTTTGTGCGGCCCTCAGCCCAAACCACTGCGCCACAGAGCCGTCAAACTGGAACATCTGTGAATTCACCACCGTCACAAAATGTAAAGTACCCGGTTGACCGAGCTTTGCTCGGTATTTTTCGCTCGGTTTTTTTTAATTCGTGTGTTTTGGAAATTATATTTAGATATATACAAATTACATACTGATGAAATATAAATAATATTTTTCGATATTAGCGACATAACAGAAAAAACGGAACTTGTTATTTGAATAAAAAATCGTGAGTGCAATTATTTTAATTTAAATTTTCGTGTTTTTAAAAAAATACTAAAAAAAAGGGCTCCAAAAAATAGATTTTCTCAAAAAAAGAAAGGAACTTGAAAAAAAAATTAAAAAAGTCGGTCGGTCGGTCTGGGCTCGAACCGGGGTTTTACGATTCTGTGACCGCCCATTATACCAATTAATCTATTTATAACCACAATCTGTCAAAATTTACCTTCTTATTCTAACGATATTGTAACAGTTTTTCATTGCCTAAAAACACGGACAAAAAGAGATTTTCTAAAAATAAATCCTAGCTGGATCGATTTATTATCCCCGAAACTCCCTGGACACTAAATTTTATGAAAATCGTTGTAGCCGTTTCCGAGATCCCGATAAATATATATATATATATATATATATATATATATATACAAGAATTGCTCGTTAAATAGTATAGTATATGACGTGGTAATCGTAATAGTAGTCATATTCTTACACCAATGATTGCAACTCCGCCACCCGATACCATCTGCAAGTGTGGTGATGACCGTGAAACTAGGGTGACCTTGGTCGCCATTGCATCACTCCCTCAGCCCTTGACTGAACCCGTGAATGCTCCTCGAAGGGAAGATGTTATCTGATGTTGCTTGAAAATCGTCACGTCCGGCACCTTCTTGTGATCGTAAACGAAAGAATTTGGATATAAAATCAATTTCTGTGGTGATCCGAAACAAGATCGATATTGACGGGTCTATTTTTGTTGAGAAAAGATGTCGGTTGAGACCAGTCTGTAACCAGCGTAGGATTGCCAAAATAAACGCAAGTACAACTCTACATGTTGTGTAGCTAACCCTATATTGACAAAAATACGTTGAGAGAAGATATCCTACATTTCGAGAAAGAACTAAGCTGGAAGAGGATACGATCTTTTGCTTTTGAAGCGTATGAAGTTAAATAGGTCAACATACTTCAAATCCTACGTATTACGGGTTCCTTCAAAGTACAAAGAGACATTCCTCGCTCCCGATTTCTGGCCCTTTGTATCGTCGATACAGTGTCGCGCCAAAGAAGAAAGTTCCCTAAATGGTGTTATGTTTAATACATATTTTTAGGTTAATGTATATATTTCTATGGGCTAATGTTCTTAATTTTAAGTTCTTGATGCCTGAAATAAAGTTATTGTGTTGTATGATTTCTTATATTAACGTGAACACTACACATGTCAAAAATACTCGTTTTTACGGATTTTATCGCGTATATTAACATTTTTATATTTCTGACGTTTCGAGCACTTTATAGCACCTATGGTCACGGGGGAGTACTCTACTCTATGCGGGGGAGACTGGAGTGCTCAATATTCATTTATAACATAACATGTTATAGTTAACCGGGGTTACCACAGATTAAAATTATTAGTTTTTGTTCCGAGGCACTACCCATAATATACAGTAATGAAACTTATATAACGCCATCTAGTCTCGATAATTATTAGTGTTTTTAAATTTAATTAGTGTAAAGTGAATTAAAGTGTTAATTTAGGTAATTCTATCGGCAATTTTTATTGTCACGAACCTCAAGCTCGTAGCAGTTGGTGTCAGAAGTGGGACAAATCATGCCGATTTTACATAAGGAGGAAACGGAGGGTGTCCGTACCCGAAGTCAACGCCAGCAGGAGACGGACCAAAGAAGATTTGGTGGTGCAACGCCGAAGACGTCGGAGGGCCAGCCACCGGCTGCAGGCCCGTCGGTAGCAGCACCTAACTTAGGTGCTCTGATGGCGATGCTACAGGAGCAGCTGCAGCGCGGACGAGAGGAACAGGCCCGTCTGTTGAAAGAGCAGCAGGAGGAACAGGCTCGCCGACAGGAGGAACAGGTCCGTCGGTTGGAAGAGCAGCTGCGGGGCGGACAGGAGGAACAGGCTCGCCGCTTAGAAGAGCAGCTCAAACGCGATAGGGAAGAGCAGATGCTTCTCATGAAGGACCTTCACGCTACCTTCGGGAAAGAGATAAGGGAGGTGAAGGATAAGGTTGCTCAACATGATAACCGCCTGTCGGAAGCCGAGACCCAAATCAACCAAGTTAAGAAAACGCTGGATGAACTCAAACTTGGGGATGAAACTACAGCTCCCGTAGTAGCTACTACACCTTCGCTACGTGGGTTCAAGTTGCCACCGTTCGACGGGACTTCTTCCTGGTCAGCCTACAAAATCCAGTTCGAGGCTGTTATGAAGGCGAACGGCTGGAGTAAAAGTCAGGCCATGACTGCTCTCACACTAGGCCTGCGCGACCAGGCCTTAACAGTGCTGGAAGCTCTCGGGGAGGAAGTGACTTATGAGCAACTCCTTGAGGCATTGGAGGCAAGATATGGCGACGCTCACCTGGAACACGTCTTTCGGGCGCAGCTTAAAGATCGCGTGCAGCGCATCAACGAAAACCTGCAGCAGTGGGCTCTAGAGGTGGAGAAGCTGGTGCGAAAAGCATGCCCCCCCCCCCCCCCCACCCCCCCCCCCCCTGGGCCCCCACCCCACCCCCCCCCTCCCCCCACCGGTCTGTACCTGCGCTCATTGAAGGGAACCTGGTGCAGACATTCATCGACGGCATCCACACTCTAGGCTCGGGCACCCAACCAAGGACCTTCGTAGCACATGCACTTCGTGCGGCAGGATCATCGTTCCCCTCGCGTCAGGGAGGTTGCAGCAGCTACAGTTCGCGACCGCAACGAAGGATACAGCCCTAGGTGCTATGGCTGTGGGGAAAAGGGCCATCTTCGATCCAGCTGCCCTAAGCGAACCCTAGAAAGGGAAGGTGAACGATCTCAGGAGGGTTGTGCGGCCAACAGCACCGCCCAGCAGCAGCAGGGAAACGAGTAAAAGCCAGAACTGCGGGGCGGGTGCTGGCTGATGTTAAAAGAGCAGCAAGCGAGCAAGGATCTCGATCTCACAAACCCATGATGGGAACAGTCTAATCATCAAGGGCGAGGTCAACGGAATGCCGTGTAAACTGACCATAGACACTGGAGCCTCTCGTACGATTGTTAGTTCCCAACTCATAAGTCAGTTCCTTGGGGACTCCGCATACAACCGAGAACGCATTAATTTGGTAACAGCCACTGGTCAGCGTATACCCGTCAGTGGAGAGAAGGAGATGGAGTTAAAGCTAGGCAACGTGATCTACCTGCATAATGTCAACGTGGCTGATATAATGGACGACTGCATCCTAGGCCTAGACTTTATGAGGAATAATTGTTGTGAGATCGACGTTAAGCAAGGTGTTTTGAAATGTGGACAGGTGGAACTTTTTATGGAAGGTGCGCGTACCAGGGAACGTGTACAGCACTAAGAAGATTGTTCTTCCCGAGAGGAACAATCGTTTCCGATCGGAAACGATTGTTCCGGTTTCTTCCTCGAAACGCTGGGCAAGCTCACCGTTGTGTACTTGTGGAAAGGGTAAACAATGACCTTCCATGGAAAGTAGCTCGAACCTTGGTCAGGACCACTGACATCTCAGGAGTACGTATGCTGAACCTTTGCGACCGGGAACAGATTATAGAAAAAGACACACTGGTTGGTACTTGTGAGGAAGTGGAATGGTTACGTCGGTGCCAATATATATCGAGTGGGACGCCCAGCAAGGATTCAGAAACGAGAGTGACCACACTTTTGGAAGACTGTCGCAGTGTTCTCTCCCCGAACGAATTGGTCAAGGCGAAGAAGTTGTTACTCAAGTACGCCGATGTATTCTCATCAAACGATGCTGACATAGGAAAGTCTGGCTTAGTTCAACACAAAATAAACACAGGAGAAGAATTGCCTATCCGTCAGCGGCCAAGAAGATTGCCGGTAGCACGTGAAAAGGAAGTGGAAACCATAATTGAAGGAATGGTGAAGGATGGTGTTATTGAACCTTCCTCCAGTCTATGGTGTTCACCAGTGGTGCTGGTGAAGAAGAAGGATAGCAGCATGCGGTTTTGTGTTGACTACCGCCGTCTGAACGACGTTACGAATAAGGACAGATATCCCTTGCCAAGAATTGATGACACGCTGGACATGCTTACAGGAGTAAAGTGGTTTAGCACGCTGGATCTAAAAAGTGGCTACTGGCAAATTGAAATTGACCCTAAGGACAAGGATAAAACTGCGTTCTCGACGAGAAAGGTTCTGTGGCAATTTAAAGTAATGCCGTTTGGGTTGTGCAATGCTCCAGCAAAGTTTGAAAGGCTGATGGAACTTGTACTTACCGGGCTAATTGGCGATGCCTGTCTGGTCTACTTGAATGACATCATCATCGTAGGCCGGAAGTTTGAGGAACACCTTCAAAACCTGGAACGCGTGCTGATGAAGATTCAGAGTGCCAACCTCAAGTTGAGTCCGAAGAAATGTTCACTATTCAAACGGCAAGTTAACTTTTTGGGGTATGTAGTATCGGAAGAAGGTATCCGCACGGATCCAGAGAAAATCGCAGCTGTCAAGGATTGGCCGGTTCCAAAAGACAAGACGCAGATTAGAGCATTTTTGGGTTTGTGCTCCTATTATCGGCGATTTGTGACGCGATCGATGAGAACTTTGCAGAT